TAATGCATAAAATATATGAGATATGAGAATTGGAGAATAAATGACAAGTGAAAGATACGAAGAATGGAATGTTAACGATCGTGGTGCCGAAATCTAAACATTTTGAAAACAGCTCATTTACTGGTTTATTAGTTCATTCGCACACTGTTATTTTCCATTTATTTTTACAGTTCGTTCCAGAAGTTTTGCTCAAATTCAAATATATGTAACTCAATAACAGCTCGGGGTCTGAAGTTTAAGATTTTGAACAACGGACCAACACCATGGCGCACGGGTAGTAACCCATTAGTGCTCCATTCTTCTTCTAACTCAAGTCTGAGTGTGAAGATGCTCAGCACAGTGCACAGACTTGTAGCACCGGCGAGGATCCTGAAATACTTTGGGTAGATTTTTAACTCAAAACTTTGCCGGGGCAGCGCTGTTAGGCTACTCATTTCGATTTCCAACTGCCAACGAATGTTTTTTGTTTTTAATTTACGTGTGCAACAATGCACACGGACGAACGATCCCACTACCCAGAGACCAAGGGGAAATTACTGGAAGTCCAAGTCCACGTGAAAAAAAATCCCAGCCCTCACTGGGGATTGAACCTGGAACCTCAAGCAATTGAGGCGGACACAATGCCCCGCGATCACGCAAGCAAGGGACCCCCCCCCCCCTTTACCCACCCCAACACCCTCCACCCCCGTTTGGTGTAAGATGTTGAAATTTGGCATGCAACCTGGTAATAATCATACAAACATCTGTGTTTATTTTGCTCCATGTGCGGTGGTCGGCTCTGTGGCTAAGTCGATGCGAACGCTTCGTAATGCTGGCCCCGGTTTCGATCCCAGCTGCGGGCCTAGCGCCTTGCGTTGGTTTCGATATGTGTTATCAGGGGACTGACCATCCAGCAAGCAATGGCAAACTACTGGACGTAAATTTGCCTAGAGAAACCACACAACAGCAATGGGCTGCTCGGGTTGGTTCTGCAACGTTCTGTAAAGGATACGCAACTACCTTTTTTTTTGCAGTGTATGACAAAGTTTACACCGACGCAAAGCAAAGCAGTAAGCATGAGTACAGCTAACTGAGTAACTGCAACTTTTCAAAACATTAAATTGCGCACGGGGTTATTTACAGCACTAGTCCCACATAAGTTGCGGATTTTTCATTGTATGCGTGATAAGCTAACCGAAAAAACAGGCATCACTGCACATGTGAATAGATTTCCAATCTCCACGTGTGTGTTAATTACTGTATAGTCTATTGTGTAGGGGTATATAAATTATTAGTCAAACAGATAACACAGTCACTGCTTTAAAAAAACAGAAGCACCCATGCAACTGTAAATTATAAAACAATAATGACATTTGATATAAAAGGCCTTATGCACAAATTGGTGTCGATATGCACAGGTGTTTTATTTTTCTAAAGATATTTTTGAAAGTGTGAGTGCACAGGTTCGAAACACTTTAGCGATTGTCTTAAATCTCTTTTCCTATGCGTTGTATATGGAATTATTATATATCTACATCGGACAGTACATGTATTTACACTGAGAAACAGTGTCTATCTACATAAAAAAGCACATGTATTTACACTGAGAAACAGTATCTATCTACTTCAGACAGTACATGTATTTACACTGAGAAACAGTATATATTTACATAGGACAGCACATGTATTTACACTGAGAAACAGTATCTATCCACATCAGACAGCACATGGATTTACACTGAGAAATAGTATCTATCTACATATGACAGCACATGTATTTAAACTGAAAAAAAAAAAACAGTATCTATCTACGTCAGACAGCACATGTATTTACACTGTGAATCAAAATCGGGGGACAATGTTGTTTTGAAACAGACGATCACCGTCACGGGTAGATGGCGTAGACATTAAAAGACCAAAGGTGCAATGATCATCTTTTTAGAGACCATGCCGTGTGCTATTGGTAGTTATGTATATCCACAACCTTCTGCTGTGTGCTTTTTTTCCCCCCAGTTCTGACACAGATGATCTTCCTTGCCACGATGTCAGATTGTCCAGCGTCTTCTCTCTTCGCCTCCAACTATCTAATTTCCCCTACAACTTTCCCACTGCTACGTTATACTGCAGTTTTCTCTTTCTCGTGACATGATCAAACAATGTAGATTTGCTCCGTTTCAAGGGCTAAATATAACATAAAACGTGACAAGAAAGCTCAACGTAGGGAATGGAAAATACGCACACAAACACACCTGAAAGTTTAGACCAAAGTCTTCATCAACAGACTACTAAATGCAGCACAAACTGTGACTAGAAAACTCAAAGAGCAAGACTTACTTACTTAGTCGCTCCTCTTCTACCTTGGGGTGTAGAGGTTTGCCAGAGAGATCGCCATACGTCTCTATCCGCAGTTTTCTTTCTGGCTTTGTTCCATTCCAGTCCTCTGTCAGTTAGGGACTGTCGGATGTTGTCTTCCCAGCGCACCCTGGGTCGTCCTGAAGGTCTGGTTCCCTGGTTCTTAGCCTCCCATGCCTGCCATGGTGGCCGATTTTCTCCCATTCAGCATACATGTCCAAACCATCGTAACTGTGACTGATCTACTCGGGTTAGTAAGGGCTGGGTATCAAGATCTTGACGTATTGTAGACAACAGAACTAATTAAAAATACCAAAGCCAACATTAAACTAAAATGTACGTAATGAGGGAAAAGTAAGAAAATGAAGGCTATATTACGAAAACAAAAATGTAAGAAGGTGTATGTGAAAAGAAGGGAAGGAATATTGATAAGTTAAACAAATGAACAAGTAAATATATTAAATTAAATAAACATGTGTTGAATATTGATCCCTCCAGGACCAAGAACGCCAAAACTATAAATGACACGTTTCTAATGAGTAGCGGCTAGTTTGATTACCAGAGCAGGACTTAATAGCAGTGACTAAGATATCGTGGTCAGAACTGTTGAAATGGAGGGAGACAGGTTTGTGAGCCTTATTACGAAATTCAACAGGACGTTCAAGGAAGCAATCTGTTCGCTTTCTGCCGTTTTCTCCAGTATATGCCTTTAGATGGTGGTGGCATCAACTAGGTTATGCGTTTCCCAAGCAAATACTTCTCTAATGTGAAACATATCTTTCTACTGATGATCGGTGAACTCCAGCTGTACATGCTCCCCTGTGGAATTCTTATTCTTATTGTTTGGGAGCATTTGGAAGTACCGGAATTGCTGTCTTAATCGGAAGCAGTCTGTTTTGACAAAGACCACTCTGTTTTTAGTCATATTCTTACTGTTCCCATCATTACGTACTTCTTGGTTTAAACATATTTTAACATGGCAGCCGTCTGTCTACTTTTGACATACCACATATTCCTCACAAATGTTTTTAAAATAAAAAAGCATATTAATCCTAAAGCGCTTTTCTCCATAAGTTCTTGAGGCAAATTTACAAACCAGGTGGAGCTGGTTAACAGCCTTGTGTGTCTAACTGAGGAGTAGAAGACGGTAAAGAGGAATGTGCGCGAAGAGCTACAACACTTTAAATAGCTTTCCAGCGATGATAATATTAAATGTTAAATGTTAAATCAAGAATTGACATCACAGCACTTGGGTACATCCATAAGCTCTGTCTCCCCCACCTTCAGCAGCAAGCGAATAGCTGCAATTCAGCCCTTAATTCTCTGATTGTATATTCGTCTCACCTTTGCCTTGAGTGTGTGTCGACGTGGCGGAGCGGCTAGATGCTCGCGTGGGAATCGGATCGAAAGGTCGTGGGTTAGCTTCCTGGCGGAGCCAGACTTTTTTTTTTTTTTTAAATGACCTTGGCTCTCAGGTCGACCCAGCCTTGAGAGGGTACCAGGTGCAGTTCCGGAAAGTAAAGGCGGCTCACCCATTTTGTGCTAATTGCTCTATAAAAATATCGGCCTGGCCCTATATGCCCTATACGCCTAAAGGCGTGGAAAAGGGACATTCAGTTTACTTCCCTTGAGTGTTGAGCGTCGGCTAAATACCCTGGTAACTCCGGGATTATTATACAAAACATTCCCACACTCTGTGACTGCAATTAAGGCGCAGCGATCGCGCTACGGAATTTCGAAATATTAGGTTCTGTCACATCTGTAAGCGTCTTGACAGCAGATCGCTTTTAATCGATTTTGACAATGATACTGAGCATCGAACGTTCAGGGGAGCAATGGCAACATACTGATCAGAACAAAAATGCCTAGTAAAAGCGAACTGTCGAAAACTGCAGGGATTGGTTACAATCTTACAAAGCTTTTTTGTTTTGTTGTTGTTGCACCTGCTGTTTTTCAAAACAAAAGTGTTATATTGTGTTATGAGGAGGCATGTGACTCGCAGCCTATGGTGATAGCGAGTGTGAATAGCAAGACTCACCATCTACAGAGTATGAGATTTCAAGACCACTGTTACCATCATGTGTTTTCAGTGTGTTTCTTCTCACGCTTAGCTCCAATTGTTTCTGCAATCATGACTTCCTTTGGTATAATTTCCTTCCTGATATGCCTGCTTCACGCAGCACTGTTCGTGACGTTTTGTTCCAACAAAGTATCTCAATATCTGCATCATTCATATCCCGCTTGCACATGTGTTAATATCGTATTAGATGACACTCGACATCTTCTACCATTCAGCATAGAAAATGTCAGTAGGGACTTAGGATTCTTCATTGTCCAGGTGTGACCCAGCTTCCTGAGTATTCGGAGACTGAACATTAAGAAAACTGCAATGCTTGCTCTTTCCAATACTTCAGCGTGGTGGTTCTTTTCCTGGCATATAGTGCCAAGTAATTTTCATAGGGATCGCATGTGAAATTTTTTTAGCGCTTTGCCTTGGTACGAATTACTTTTTATAACACCAATTTCACCAAAATTGAAGACCCGAGAGAGTACCGCAGTCATGACTGCCGATGGCTGCTGTCGATCAAATTTCTGTCAAAGAAAATTACTAAAATTCTTCTTTTACATTATATTTAATTGCCTATTTAATGCATTTTTTTTTTCAACAGCCAGAACTATCTCTGCAACTGGCTCCAACTATTGGACAGATGTTAGATGTCGTGTTCGCCTTCATGAAGAATTTCGGCTGGACCGACTTCTCCTTCTTGTGCACACTTTCCTTTGGATGTCAAGATGAGCTCTCTCTTATCCGGCTGAAGATTGAGGAATTCAAGAGGGAAACCAAATTCAGCGTCTATGGCGACGAAAGCTACTCGTAAGTATTACACTTTTTTGCGGATGTCAGTATGGATGCAATAGCCCAGTGGTTAGACTGACAGCCAGTCAGCGCTCGCAGGCACAACAGAATGCCAAATGGAAAAAGTAAGGAACCTCTGAAGATGAAATTGACTTCTCTCTTCTCTAGCTAAACATCAGAAGTATGTGTATGTATTTGGCGTGCATGTGTGCGTGTATGTATAAATGTATGTGTGTACGCCAGTATTCGGGTATGTATATATGTGTGTATTTGTGTGTGCATGTTTGATATGTATTTATTTTTTAATGTATGCCTTTACCATCTATGTTTTTGTGTACTTTGTTTGCTCCTTATACTATGTGTATTGTTATATAAACACAACTTGCTTTAAAGATAAAATACAATTGCAGTATCAACGATTAGCGCTTGCTAGGGTCGAATGCGTGTCCAATGTGTGGCTTTGAACATTAAATAAAATTAGTTCTTTCGACATCCAAGCCATTTCGATGAGAAATCCCCAATCACTAATGATTCCAAGCTAAACAACCGTGGCGTTGGTATTCCATCTACTATTAGTCTTCAGGAAGCTATTAGATTCTAGTTCGCTCAGTGAGAGCCCACATAATTAACACAGAAATGTAGGTGAAGCCAGCCTAAATTAGAAACGGGATATAGAAATGGTTGGTTGTTTAGCTGATTCGTGAAATCCCTAATGGACTCTTAAAGCGCCGAAACAAGAAGGCGTACAAAACCAATTGGGCAACTTCACACCTTCAGAGGGATATTTTAGGATATTATTAAATCATAATTCAGACGTCAGCTGCAGACTTACTTTGGCTGGCCTATGTTTCTAATGTCCGTGGGACATGAACACAGTCAAAGTAATAATAAAAATAAAAATAAAGACACCGCTTGGTCTATACAAATGGTGGCCTAACGCAGAGACGACAAACAATATAAAACTAGTCCCTAAATTTACTTTTGTTACTCACTAAGTGCTCATAAATTCCCTTCTAGTAGTTTCATTAGAATTAGTCTATTATTATCAAATGTATCTGCAAAAATGTGTTATGTTTAGGATTATGTATCTATTTCTTTCCTCCGGTTCTGGGGATGCATTATGCTAACAGCTATTGCCTGGTACAAGCTTCTGAACTAATGAAAGTATTACAGTCAAGGAATGTTCTTTGTTAATAAAACGAAAACAGAGGTATGGAAAAACATCGTGACAGATGCAAAGATCAGTATGTAGTTAATAGAGGCAACACATACACCTTCTGGCAAGATGCATGATGGTTCTTCTTCTTCTTGTTCTTCACCCTAGAGAAGTTGTCCTGCAATGACTAAGACGATGACATAGAAAAAATTGCATAAAGGTTTTTAAATTAAGGCTACATTACTGATGTAAATGTATGGAGAAACATGAACACATACACCATCTGGCAAGATGCATGATGGTTAGGCTGGATTTATTTCGTTTCGGGCTATCATCTGCATGTTTGACCAAAGATGACACAATCTCAGTCCGAATGGTGAGCCAGCAGTGCAAACCACATAAATCTAGTTCGATCTCCACACAAATTTTAATATGGGTACCCTGAAGGCTACAGCGGTCTGATGGCCTGTGCGGTTATGGATGAGTTGACAAACAAAAAATTATATATGGGGTCATAGGCATCCGAACCTGGTAGCGCATGGATTATCGGCGACCGGGTGGCACATTAGCTCGCCGGTAGACGACTTCGTCTCCGTTCGGGTAAGTATTTGGGTCTGTCTCCTTTGATCGCATCAACACCGCAAGAGACTTCTTTTTTTTCAGGGCTTTTGGTGGCGTCCATTGCTAAGCCATTTTATGGCGGCGCACATAACCTAGTCACAATTATAACCTAAAGCTCCCCTTTTGGGGATACTGGTTGAACGTAACGATTTTTTTTACAGCAAAGCAAAGCGTAGCCCCTTCCACCCCCCCCCCCCCCCCCCCCCCCCCCCCCCCCCCCCCCACAAAAAAAATTGTTGCCGAGTGGGGAAGCGTGTGCTCAGCCTCCGACTGGCTCAAGCTAATCAGCGTGTTTTAATCATGTTCATAAATACTCTGTAAAACTATTTCTATATTCATTTTACATTAGACGTGTATCACAAATATCATTTTTTATGCTTAAAAATGTGTGTGGCGAGGGGAGAGAGTTCCAGCATATTCACTGTGTCGGCGGACCGCACAACGAACGATCACTACTCGGTGACACAAAGTGCCACCATTTGGATGAGAATCACCTTTGAGCAGTTCCCAGAAACCCTGTTCAACCCTTAAGTTATATTTAGAGGCGTCGACGACAACCGGGGTGGAGTTTTTTTAAAAATGCCTCCTATAAATAGAGGAGAGCGGCGTCCGTGGCTTAGGCGTTGTGAGTCGGAATCGTAACTCCAACGTACAGCGATCGAAACTCACCGCTGGTTGCGTGGATTTTTATCATGGCATGGGGCGTCGCAGATCGACCCAGCCTAAAATGGGTACCAGGATGTATGACCTGGGAAAGTAAAGACGCCCGGCGTAATGCTGACCACCTTACCAGCTTAGTGCCGATGGTCCGTAAAAATAGGGGTGTCCTCCCATATGCCCGATACGCCTAAAGGCGTGAAAAGGGATCTTTACGTTACTGGTAATCTGGTAATCTGGTAATCCTAGTTTCAGCTTCATAGCAAACGGGTCACCCCACATATGCTCTGCTCCTGTGCCAACGAAAAACAAACACAGCTCACAGTGTCACGCCATGCACTCAACTCAACTTGTTACTATTGGGACGGGGGATATTATCACAGTGTTTTTATTGTTCAGGTACAACTTATTATCCTACGTAAACTTCACCGACGGAGCGGATGAGAAAGAAACGAGAGAGAAGTTAATGTACGAGCTTCATAAGGATTCTAGGATTAATTTAGTTCACGGAGAAGGGTGAGTACAATACCTATATGTTTATGTTGTCAGATCATCAGTTGCGATTGCCGAGTTCACGAAACCCTACTTCACTGCACGCTTTCATTTGTTTTTGATATTGTCCGTTTATTTGTCATGTAATATGCATTATCCTCGGCTTATTTACTTGTCCAACTTTCAAGGAATTTTCAATCACCCACCTGTATCTCTAATATTCCAGTCATGTAATATGTTTTCTCCTCTTTTCGTGGCTTTCAGTATAGTGGAGAAACCTATTTCTGTGTGTATAGCACTGGGAAAATGTGAAAATAGTGTAATATATAACGACATACCAGCCAAAATAACACGCGTTATTAGAAATTTATACGATGGTTCAAAATGAGCAGTGCTCCATGAAAATGGTCTAAGTGTCTGGTTGTTGGTGGAAACTGGAGTGGAAGAAGGCTAGATTTTTGTTGTTTGGAGCAACCATTGACTGGTTAATGAAAAGAATGTTGCAAAGACAATACTGGGCATTGACTGTGTAGAGAATAGACAATGGAAGATTTGGATTTTTCAGATGGGTTTGTTCTGTTAAGTAAAAATAACAAAGATTTGTAAAGAAAAAAGGACAATTTCACGTCTACGGCATCAAAAATAGGACTACCATTAAGTTATGACAAAACAAATATATTAAAGATGCCAACTACAGATTATGTAGATGTAATGCTAGAGAACAAACAAATAAAAGTAACAGACCATTTGACCTATTTGGGTAGCAAATTTTGATTCTTAAGGAGATGCAACGAAGCGAACTATGATACGCATTGGCAAAGCAACAACAGTCTTTAAAAGCCTTAATCACACATGAAGCTCCAAGTTTCAAGTTGTAAAGTATTTTTTTTTTAAAGTGCTGAAATGTATTTGTTGTATTTCTTTTCCATTTCCTCTTTTGTGCTTTCTATGCATACCTTATGTTGTATTTAGCCTTTAAATAAATGCAGCATTTTAGTCTCATGTTAGTTGCGTATCCTTTACATGACGTTGCAGAACCAACCCCAACAGCCCCTGGCTGTTGTGTGGTTTTTCTTGGCAAATTTACGTCCAGTGGTTTGCCATTGCCTCCTAGACGGTCGGCTTTCTTGATACCACTGTAGAAACCAACGCAAGGTGCATGGCCCGCAGCTGGGATCGAATCCGGCATCCAGGCATTACGAAGCATTCGCATCGACTTAGCCACAGAGCCGATGCATTTTATTTTATAGAGGGAAATAATGGGGGTATGTAGTAAAGGAAACGACGAGCAGTTTAAAGCCATGTAGTCTCTGGGAATATTCGTATTTTTATGTCTAGTATCCGTAGCCATTTTATACTGGCTAAGATTAAACATGAATTTTTCAATGTAGCCTTATTTATGACTCACGCAGTGCATTAATAAAAATATGGTCATGGAACACAAAACTTAAGACAAGTGTGGCGTATGTACAGTAAACAACATTTGATGTACTGTTTAATACATAAAGAGCTTCTGTCTATGTGTGTATTTTGCAGCTCAGAAGTGAAGGCGATACTGGACGTGGCCACGTCACTTAATCTAACCGGGAAGGACTACGTTTGGATCTTCACCTATGCTTCTATAACTCTGACGGCAACTTACGTAGACCCAAGCTACCCACTGGGATCGTTCAGTAAGTTATGCTTCAGGAAGTGTGAACTACTATTTACAGAAGTTTTTCACGTTACTGGCACCTCCTTAGTAAAGCAAATCAGCATTCGACTTAGGAGGTGGTAAACAATACATCAGTCACCTGTACTACCCGTCAACATTACTTCAGTCACTTTTACTACCAGTCAACATTACATCAGTCACTTTTATTACACGTCTACATTATATCAGTCACTTTTACTACCGGTCAACATTATATCAGTCACTTTTACAACCGGTCAACATTATATCAGTCACTTTTACTACCGGTCAACATTATATCAGTCACTTTTACTACCAGTCAACATTATATCAGTCACTTTTACTACCGGTCAACATTATATCAGTCACTTTTACTACCAGTCAACATTATATCAGTCACTTTTACTACCAGTCAACATTATATCAGTCACTTTTACTACCGGTCAACATTACATCACTCACCTTTATTACACGTCTACATTATATCAGTCACGTTTACTACCAGTCAACATCAAATCACATCAGTCACTTTGACTACAGTCAACATTACTTCAGACATCTTTACTATCCGTTAACATTACGTCAATCACCTTTACTACCTGTCAACATCATATCAGTCACTTCTACTACCCGTCACCATTACATCAGTCACCTTTTCTGCACATGACAGCCTTTTCTTTTTTTTTCCCTCCTCCTTCTCCTCCTCCCTGTTTTTCTTCTTCTTCTTCTTCTTCTTCTTCTTCTTCTTCTTCTTCTTCTTCTTCTTCTTCTTCTTCTTCTTCTTCTTCTTCTTCTTCTTCTTCTTCTTCTTCTTCTTCTTCTTCTTCTTCTTCTTCTTCTTCTTCTTCTTTCCTCTTCTTCTCTTCTTCTTCTTCTTCTTCTTTTTCTTCTTCTTCTTCTTCTTCTTCTCTTCTTTCTTCTTCTTCTTCTTCTTCTTCTTCTTTATCTTCTTCTTCTTTTTCAACTCCTTCTCCTTTTTCTTCTCCTTGCTATTCTTCTTCTTCTCCTTCTTCTCCTTCTTCTTCTTCTTCTTCTTCTTATTCTTCTTCTTCTTCTTCTTCTTCTTATTCTTCTTCTTCTTCTTCTTCTTCTTCTTCTTCTTCTTCTTCTTCTTCTTCTTCTTCTTCTTCTTCTTCTTCTTCTTCTTCTTCCTCTTCTTCTTCTTCTTTATCTTCTTCTTCTTTTTCAACTCCTTCTCCTTTTTCTTCTCCTTGCTATTCTTCTTCTTCTGCTTCTTCTTCTTCTTCTTCTTCTTCTTCTTCTTCTTCTTCTTCTTCTTCTTCTTCTTCTTCTTCTTCTTCTTCTTCTTCTTCTTCTTCTTCTTCTCCTCTTCTCTTCTTCTTCTTCTTCTTCTTGTTCTTGTTCTTGTTCTTCTTCTTCTTCTTCTTCTTCTTCTTCTTCTTCTTCTTCTTCTTCTTCTTCTTCTTCTTCTTCTTCTTCTTCTTTTCTTCTTCTTTCTCTCAGTTTTTGCCTTCTTTTTGTTACCAATATTATTATTGTTGTCTTTATTACTATAAATACTAAACTCCAACTGAAGGTTATGGTTCAATGTCCACTTTGGTCTCAAGAATTTCGCGAGTATATCCGTTTTACAGATCAAGCTTATTTATACACAGACTGTGTGTTCCTTGCCTCTCAGGCAGAGATACTCTGACTTCCAAGGATGCTCCCCTAATTATTCACATTTTACGACATGCTTGTTTTAGGAACAGTAAGGTCTATTCTTTTTTCACACTTAATAGTTTCTCGGAATCGTCACGGGGACTTCGCGTGGCATGATCAGGTGCCCATATCAGGCTGAGTAAAAATGTGTAGAGGTGAAGCCATGGGAAGTAAAGGTGATGTTGACCCCATCACTCATTGATCTATAAAGTTGTACGTCTAGCTTCGTATATTCAGTGCGCCACTGGTGTGTAAAGGGACATTTACTTCTAAAAGCTGGGAGCCCTAGGTCGATTATTTAATCCCGCATATATGAGGGTTCGAACTTAAAAACTTCGAGCCAGGAAGCAAAAGTCTAGCAACTGTTATGCCACTAATCAATAAAACCATGTGAGCTTTCTTTCGTCCTTTAACTCATTCAGTACCAGTTTACCCACCACGCGTTTGTTGGGTTCTGCTTCCATTATTTATTGTTCTTAACTTCTCATGCCACATCCAGCTGTTGCATTAGACACCACAACCGTATTTGTTACTGGAACTCGTTCTCTCTCAACGAACGACTAATTTAATCCATTTCAACCTGAACATCTATTATCTTAAGTGAGCACATTCTATGAGAGATTAGGCTAAATTGTCTTTGTCTATTACTTGCCTTTTCCCTCAAGCTCTGAAGGCCGTGAGTTTGTTTCATGGCTGCGCACTTCATTCAGTTCACGAGTGCAGGTTTTTACAGAGATCCATGTGAATCGTCGCTGGAGCTACGGAGTTAGTTCTCTTTACAGCGCTCTCAGCAGTTCTGCTGAGAGTGATGGAGCCATCTGGGATAAAACCGGGTACGATTAGGTGGATATTCCCGACTTTAACTCTGTCTGTTACTGACAAAGTCAGACAGTCATTGTGTATTTATATTGCTTTGATTACCAGTTGTTGTTGTTTTTTTTGTGTGTCTCTCTCTCTCTCACATCAAGTATAATTATGACAATTAGTGCCTTCAGAAAGGTAATGACTGACACATCCGGCACGTACGCGTAGGAATTATCAAATCCTGTAATTACTGATCATTGTTTCTATTGCTTTCGTAAACAAATTACGTTCTTCCTTTTTTAACTACATTTATCGCATTTGATGGTGACAGAGAAGTAATGACCAATGTTCGCACGCGCGCACACACTCACACACAAACACACACACACGCACGCACACACACACACTGTTGTACTTGTACACTTAATTTGTTGTACACTTATATTCAACACGTATGTTTACGCACTGATACTCCTTTGTATCAGCAACCAAGTATTTAGGCCTAGGGTGCCTATTCTAGAACTCCGCTGGATATCTCCTTGATGGATGTGCTACGATGTAGTCCTGCATACTATAACTGGCACAGCATCATCTAACACAGTTGTTATCTTTACGAGTCAACAATAACGCTTGTGACAGGCCACATAAACTTTAATGGCATTAAAGTTACACGTCACAAGATGATGATGATTATTTAATGAAACGTACGATAATAACTCTCTATTAGCTACTCTGAGAATATAAAAGAATTACACTCTTTTCTCAATGGACTCCTGCCATTATAATAAATAAATAGACATTAAACTGTCTCCCGTGTAAGTACAGTTAAATAAAAACTTCACAAAGAAGGAACGTCCTATTTGGACAAGGAAAATATCTTGACTGCCGAATCCTTTGTGTTCTGCAGGAGCCTTTGTGTTAATCGCCCAGCATTCAATTAGCTGGTATCCCAGGTAACGACCCGACCCGTGGCCGCTGTGTGAACCTTTCACCTGCGCTGTGACCACTAGAAGAAACTAGAAGAAACTTTAACTCTTTGGACAATAAGATTACAACAGCTTATCCCCCCCCTCTCACAAACTGAAAATCTATGTTTTCAGTTGCATAATTTTAACTCTGTTGTAGTCATCTAGACAAATTATATTCGAATATACCTAGTGAAATCAACATGCAGTTAAGTGAGAATGCATGTAAACGAAATGATGATAACTTTTGTTATAATAAGAATGCATGTAAACGAAATGATGATAACTTTTGTTAGAATAAGAATGCATGTAAACAAAATGATTATAACTTTAGTTATAATAAGACATGAAATAAACAACAAGAAATAAAATATAATAGCATAACTGGTTGACTAATAACCCATAAGCTAAATCCACATTTCATAATTACTGTCAATCCCAATAAATGGAATCATCTGTCCAAAACACTTGAGAAATTAACTAACTAAACACTTCTCATAGGTATGTCCTTGAAATATACATATCTGGATAATGTATGTTGATACCAATATATAAGCATCCTTTGCAGTGTAGTGAGGTATAAAAATTCCAATGTGAAAAGGAACTGATTGTCTCATGACGTACAAGGAAATCTGGACAAATAGTCAGCAAGTACGTTCTCCTTACCACTCCGGTAGATGACGGTATAGTTAAAAGTCTGAAGAAACAAGGTCCAACGAAGAATACGGGCATTTGTTACAGACCCTGTGTTCAAAACAGCAAGTGACTTGTGGTCTGTAATTACATAAAACGTTCTCCCTATTAGGTACCTGGAGAATTTAGCGATGGACCAGTAAATTCCCAGTGCTTCTCTCTCTTAGACACTATAGCGTGTTTCAGTGTCGGACAATTTGCGACTTGCATAGAGGCAAGGATGTAAAGTCCCATCGTACATTTGGGAAATTACTGCTCCCAGTGCGACATTTGAAGCATCTGAGGAAACATAAAAATCAAGTGATAGATTAGGCAATCTCAGAAATGGTTTATTGTTAAATGTTCTTTGTATCTGGCTGAGTGCTTGTGCGCAGGATTCATCCCAAAACACCTCTCGAGGCATCGTCTTTCTTGTCAACTCAGACAACACAGATGTTATAGAGGAATAATGGGGAATAAATTTAGCGTAGAAGTTCTTAGACCCAAAAATGTTAGCTCATGAAATGCTATCTGGACCTAAAAAGGTGCCTATCTTTGTCTATGTGTTTCTGCTGTGCTCGTGTAACCGCATTGGCCACTGTGTCATTGTCATCGTTCCACTTCTTAATATCTTCTGTTGTGCAAGCTCGCACCCCTGGAACTGTACCAAGAATGATATCTGGTGAACCTCGGTTTACAACACATACCTCTGCAACTCCGGTAAAATGGGGACATCTAATTTTCACAATCGCAAGTGGATATTTTTCAAGATTTCCACCGAATGTGCGGCATTTGGCATACCTTCCTGTATATGCAGATGAAGGAACTAAGTATCTTGCCACGCCAATAACATTCGCACCTGTGTCCCTCAAAACTGTAGATCTAACCTTGCCAATGTACCCAAAATGGAGAGGTAATCCACATTCTGTAGGCATGGCGGACAAAGCAGGATACACAATGTCAGGTCGAACTCTGACTTGTACTGTATCACTGTGGCTGGCATGTGTTATGTCCTGTACTTGAAGTGCATTGCCCTGTTTTGGTGTAACTCTAGGACAGAATCTTTTCAGGTGATTCCCCCCACACACAAAGCATTTGAGGTTGCTATCGTAATACCTCCTCCTGTCTTGTGTCGAAGATTCATAATCATTCCGTCTATAACTTTTGTTTTGATACTGGTCTGATCTGTGACGCCAGGAAGAACAGTACTGACAACCTATAGGCCGGCTAAAGTACCTATGTGACTGTTCTGTCTTCTGAAAGGCTCTATCTGGTCGTCTGGAACGATCATAGCTGTGGCTTCTAAAGTGACCTGCTCTGCCAAAAGTGTTAGGTTTCTGAGCAACATTATTTTGTGAATAATGTGAGCGGTTCACGCGCATGCTAGATGCGGCAGGAATAGGTTCTGTATAACTTTCCTTTTGCAAGGACTTGCCAGGATGAGCACTCATATATTGCTCACCCAGTTTTACCATTTCCTCTATAGAAGGCGGTTTTCTTTCTTGGAAGAAAGCAAACAATCCTGTGCTACAACAGGATAGAATCTTATCCCTAATCATCAGGTCTGCTAGACGATCATAAGAATTACCGACCTGCGCCAGAGTTGTCCACCTGGAAAACAAGGTCTTAACATTAGCAACAAAATCACCAAAACTTTTTTCAGAGGAAGGCATTATGTTTTTGAATTTCTGACGATAGTTTTCCTCTGTCACATTTTGGGAAGCCAATAATTTCTGACGCACTGTCTGGAATGATGCACGGTCTTCCAACGGTAAATTAGTGAACGTGTTTAACACTGTTCCGGTTAGCAGATCTCTTAGACGAGCTACCCACTGTGTCTCAGGAATCTGGGCTAACGACATCGTTTCTTGGAATCTGTCCAAAAAAGAGTGTAAACAATCATTTGTTGTTAAAAAGGGCAACTTCGGCCTGTATGACACATTATTCCTGTCTCGGTTGGAGAGCTGATCCATTTCCACACTTTTCTTGCTCTCGGCCTCCTTAAGAGCAATCATTTTATCTCTCTCTACTCTAGCAATTTCTATCTCAGTGTCGAATCTAAGTTGTTGCTGCTTGTGAGACAGTTCTAATTCTCGATCTTTAAATTGCTGCTGCTTATCATTTTCCTGCATCTGCTGCAACATCTGCTCTCTTTTAAATGCTATTTCCTGTTCCTTAAGTACCCGTTCTGCCTCTAACTTTTCCTTTTCTAACCTTATTTGTAGTTCAGCCTTTTCTCTTTCTACATAAATTAGCATTTCTGACTCTTCTTTTAGTTTTAGTCTTTCTGCCTCTGCTTTTCCTTTTTCTGCCTCTGCTTTTTCTTTTTCTAACCTTATTTGTAGTTCAGCCTTTTCTTTTTCTGCATTAATAAGTTGTATCTTCAACTCAGAGTCAATTTTTTTCTGCTGTCTTTCTAACGCTCTTTCTTCTCTATCTGTGATTTCTTTAAATCTGGCTTCGGCAAATTTGACAAACTCTGGCCCCTCTAAACTCATAGATCGGCCTAGCTCAACAAAATCCGCAAAGGAAGCCATTATAACTCGATGTATTCTGCAATACAGAAAATGTAAAATAATAATAAATGAAAAAAAATGAGACAAATAATGGTTGACAAACAAGACGCTACACTTCGTTCACTGCAACGAATGTACAAAACGACAACGTTGAGAGAATCGAATAGTAAAAAATAAAGTTGACACCACAAGCCTGTTATAAAAAAGAAATCATGAAAAGTAAACAGAAGAGCACACCAATGACGTGACGACGGAAACACACTTAACGCATACAATTTTAGCGACTAATTGTCAGAAAGGCCACGAATATTTGCATATCCTCTATATCAGAGCCGCCAATTTGACAAGAAAAGCTGAAGAAAAGAACTAATATGTCATCCCAAACTGAATGAGCTGATATATTAAAGTTACAAATAACAGAAAACATGGATGATAATCATTCACTCTAACACCTCGGATATGTTATGAGACGAAACGAGCACACAACACAACTCCCATCCGTCAACAAAAAAACATTACCCGATTTAAATCCACAGATGCGATCCTTAGGCGTCGTAAGCGTGGATCCTCAAGTCGATGCGATCCTTAAGCGTCGTACTGCGATCCTCAGGCGTCGTACTGCGATCCTCAGGCGTCGTACTGCGATCCTTAGGCGACGTACTGCGATCCTCAGGCGTCGTACTGCAACCAGGAACCTAATAGTAATGATGCGAAACTCAAGCATCCACTGCCGAACTCCGTTGAAGAATGTCAATTACGGTAGAACAAACGCGTAATTCTATAGAGTCAAATAACACTGCTAATGTCACCAGCACTTTATACAGCTGTAAACGGCAATCAATTAAGGCCTACTGTTAGTTCACGTATGTCCGAAAAGTTCGTAAAGCTGCTAGAAACACCCGTTAGCACTGCATACACTTAAAAAAAAAAATAGTTTATAACTCCTTTCAGGATCCGTTAATTTATAAAATCTATGTGCGAACAGTTAAATGTATTCGTTCAAGCGATTATCAGTCAGTAGCAAGAACACTGGATAAATCAACACTGTTTATAAATCCATCAAAGGACCGGCTTGGCCATCCACTGTTGTACACTTAATTTGTTGTACACTTATATTCAACACGTATGTTTACGCACTGATACTCCTTTGTATCAGCAACCAAGTATTTAGGCCTAGGGTGCCTATTCTAGAACTCCGCTGGATATCTCCTTGATGGATGTGCTACGATGTAGTCCTGCATACTATAACTGGCACAGCATCATCTAACACAGTTGTTATCTTTACGAGTCAACAATAACGCTTGTGACAGGCCACATAAACTTTAATGGCATTAAAGTTACACGTCACAAGATGATGATGATTATTTAATGAAACGTACGATAATAACTCTCTATTAGCTACTCTGAGAATATAAAAGAATTACACTCTTTCCTCAATGGACTCCTGCCATTATAATAAATAAATAGACGTTAAACTGTCTCCCGTGTAAGTACGGTTAAATAAAAACTTCACAAAGAAGGAACGTCCTATTTGGACAAGGAAAATATCTTGACTGCCGAATCCTTTGTGTTCTGCAGGAGCCTTTGTGTTAATCGCCCAGCATTCAATTAGCTGGTATCCCAGGTAACGACCCGACCCGTGGCCGCTGTGTGAACCTTTCACCTGCGCTGTGACCACTAGAAGAAACTAGAAGAAACTTTAACTCTTTGGACAATAAGATTACAACACACACACACAAGCAGGACTTCCTCCATTCGTTAAGAACTAATTATTATTCCCACAGCATTTCTAAACAAATTACTTTTTCTATTCTTTCTTGATTTTAAAAACAGCCATTGTGGTTAATGCCAAACAGAGATTCAATGACAGACACAAACCCACAAATGTATTTGAATAGTAATGTCTATTAAAAAACTACCGGGTATTTTTTTTTTCCTATTACAGTGCCTTTGTTAACTTGAATTATCCGCCCCACGCCCTTTTTGTTTCACTTCTTCCAACTTTAGTCATCGCATTCAACGCCAGCAGAGAGGCAATGACCTATACTGTCAAGACCGGAGTGAACTTGTGGCTGGACGCCCTGAACTCTCTAGCTATGTCTGCAGACATGGACAGTATAGATTTCACTACCGGGTTCTCATGCGACCGGACGAGGGATGATCAGATCTCTGACAATAATGATACCTTAAAACCGCCATTATTCTGGAAATATGGAGAAATACTATACAGGTTGGTAATGTAACAGTTTGTTTTTCTTAGGACTGTTTCTCAAATCTTTTTGTTGCCCAATGAGTTATCTTCTTTTCTCAATTTTCTTGTCTTTTTAATGCATGTTTGGTATCTGCTTGGCCCTGTTGTTGTTTTTTTTTATTGTCCTTATTTTATATCTTGTTGTAAGTTAGGCTATGTGTTCTTTCATATTTTACCTTTAGAACTTTTTTTTTAAATTATTATTTCCTTTTTTCCCTGTTATTTATTTAGTTTGTATATGTTTTGTTGATTTTTTTTTTCTTTTTCTTATCATATCTTTATAGATTCATGTGTACTTACTTTTCGTCTAATAATTTCGTACTAATGTTTACTCTTACAGTTATTTAAAATGTAAATTTAAAAAATGTTGCTATGTGGTGCAAACACCCGCTCATTAATTTTTGTTTTTTTTTTTTTCGTTTAGATACATGCTAAAGTCAAAATTGCCCGGCGAGTTGGAGTTTGATGACTACGGGGTCCTGAAAGCCAACCGGTTTTATATCATGAATATCCAGAGACAAATCAACAGCACAACCCCTGGAGGCAAGGATGACTTCCCAGATCCTAGAGCTGGTGGTCGAGGCGGTGACAGGTAAACATTTGGGTGACGAATCTTTTTTTTCTCAGTCTAGTCGGTCGTGCAGGTACTCTGTTCGTGCAGGTACTCTGGTCATGCACTTACTCTGGTCATGCACTTACTCTGGTCATGCAGGTACTCTGGTCGTGTAGGTACTCTGGTCGTGTAGGTACTCTGGTCGTGCAGGTACTCTGATCATGCAGGTATTCTGGTCGTGCAGGTACTCTGGTCGTTCAGGTACTCTGGTCGTGCAGGTACTCTGGTCGTGCAGGTATTCTGGTCGTGTAGGTACTCTGCTCCTGCAGATAACTGGTCGAGCAGGTACTCTGGTCGTGCAGGTACTCTGGTCGTGCAGGTACTCTGGTCGTGTAGGTACTCTGGTCGTGCAGGTACTCTGGTCGTGCAGGTACTCTGGTCGTTCAGGTACTCTGGTCGTGCAGGTAGTCTTGTCGTGTAGGTACTCTAGTCGTTCAGGTACTCTGGTCGTGCAGGTACTCTGGTCATGCAGGTACTCTGGTCGTGTAGGTACTCTGGTCGTGTAGGTACTCTGGTCGTGCAGGTACTCTGGTCGTTCAGGTACTCTAGTCCTGCAGGTAGTCTGGTCGTGTAGGTTCTCTGGTCGTGCAGATAGTCTTGTCGTGTAGGTACTCTAGTCGTTCAGGTACTCTGGTCGTTCAGGTACTCTGGTCATGCAGGTACTCTGTTCGTGCAGGTACTCTGGTCGTGCAGGTACTCAAATCGAGCAGCTACTCTGGGCGTGCAGGTACTCTGGTCTTGCAGGAAGGCGCCCAGTTTGCTACAGCGATATATAACTCTATATCCTCAACACCATTTCGTCTTGTGCGATGAGCGCTGCAGGAGATGTTTGAGGCCTTGTGTTATTAACCAGGTCGGCTCACCCGTTGAGATCATTGGATGGGTGTTGTTTGTCCATCACGAGTGATGAAGACCACTTTCATCCAAAGTAGTGATGATCAATGATTATGAGTACGAAGGTGCCTGATTAGTCCAATATGAGCTTGGAAAGTTTTTGAGCAGTACCGACAACAGAGGAAACCGCAGTAGGCGTGGAATTAGCAGTACGATTCTTTCTAGTCTGCCTCCGTTTCTCTGCATGTGCAACCTCCGCTACCTGGCAGACTGATGCATTAAGTCTGAGGGACGTACGCCATCCAGAACTGCCTTTTGCAGCAGCCTCCCACGTCGCCGTGTTGATGCCAAACGAATTGAGATCAGTCTTAGATGGATAATAGGCCCGAAACAGTTGGACTCTCCTACTGATGATCTTTAGACTCCTGCTGAACTCCTGTTGTGGAGTGCTTATTATACTTACAGTAATCAGATCTTCTTAGTAAGGAAATATTAGATCTGAAAGGACCGGGTGGCAGCACTTGACACTTAGCATGACTTTTGATAATTAGACCAACGTCTGTGGCACAGGAGATTACGAAAGTGCCAGGTTTGATTCCAACTACTGACGGTTTGGCAGCAGACTGCCTTGTGTTGATTTCGACAGTTGAATTTAGTGTCGACCGTTTAGTTAGCAGTTTCAAACTTCAGTATAGATCATTGCGTAGCAAAATCAGAAGAAAAAAAATATTTATTTATTTTGGCATCGTCCTGTAAAGGACACGAGGATTAGTTAGTCTTTCCTCTTTAGCCTGTAGCGGCGCATAAGGCAAGGGTCATAGTTCTCCATGTCTGGCGGTTCGTTGCCCCCTGTTGTAGGTCTTGGCTGTTTGTTAGGCCCATGGCTGAGCCTTCTCTGACGATGGTTCTACGTAGGGTTTCTCTTGGTCTTCGCATTCGAGATTTCGCATTCTTCTAAGACATTTGCTCTTAAAATTGCCTCATTTTAAAACTTTAAACGGCCGTTGCTTTCCAAATCTAGCATCCATAAGTTAACACTAAAATCACATTGATAGGCAACATTTTTTTTTTTTTCCAAAATTACATTCATTCGATTACAAAGTTGAAACAGTAAGCGACTTTTCTTCTGGAAAAGTAACTTCTAGAACGTTTGTTATTCACTGAGGCTAGTAGTTCGGTTTTCGAGATCATACTGGCATACACAATAGGGGGGAATTAGTTTTATATAAACTGTTTCATTTCTAGACGCACCTGTCTTGTTCTAGCCTGACTTATTTTTGTTTTCTAAATGCTTTTATTAGTAGTGGTATAAAGTTGTATATGAACTTTATTTTGTAAAACGAAAAACTTTTCGTGTGTGTCCTTTAAATTATTGGCTATTATTGTCGTTTAAAGAATATCTTGTGCAATATATCCTTGTCATGGAGAGTTAGAAAAAGAATTCTTGCTTGCTACATACATCCAGTTTTAACATATGGCTGTGAATCCTGGACAATAGGTAGGCAGGCCAAACAATTTCTTGAGGCCTCAGCGATGTGGTTTTACTGAAGAATGCTTAGAATACCTTGGACAGCCAAAAAGAGCAACCAAGAGGTTTTGAAAGAGGCGGGAGCCCGAAGACAACTTATCACAGACATCAGAAGAGACAGTCATTATTTTTCGGCCATGTTATGAGCAGAGGGAAAATAGAACATGTTGTGACCACTGGAAAGATATGTGGAAGGAGGGACAGAGGAAGACATCGAGAGAAGATTCTTGACAGTCTTGTTGCATACCATCGAGGTGTGTCGGCACACAAACTGATATGCTGCAGCAGATCGTGGATTATAGAGAGGCATGATCGCCCATGCCAGTCGGCAAGGCACCTGATGATGATGAGTGCATTAATTATGCAATGCATCTTTAATGAACGTTTACGTTATATAACGGATTTTCCCCAGCTTTTTAATACCAATTACAAGCTGTAAGTGGAATGACCACATTAAAAAAAAATTTGTGTGTCTGAGCAATGTGTTTCCCTATTGTAAATTTGAACAGAGAAAACATAAACAATAGACGACACAATTTAAAATTTCCTAACACTTTATATAAGGCTGGGTTGAACTTGCAGTCAATGCCACGTATTTGAGTTTAAATAATTAAAGATCCAATTTCACGCCCGTGGGCGCATCGGGTATGTGGGATGAGCGCTCATATTTTTACATACCATCGGCACTAGGTGAGTAATGTGACCGGCCGTCTTTACTTCCCCAGGACAGCCATACTAGTACCCATTTTAGGCTGGGTCGACATGCGACGCTACATACCACGATAAAAATCCACGCAACCAGCAGTGGGTTTCGATCGCGGTATGCTGGAATTACAAGAAGGACTCTTAACGCCTAAGCCACGAACACCGCCCAAGTATTTTAAAAATCCCACTTAATGCGGATACGCATTGAATATGTTTAATTTCAACGACTTTTTTTTTTTTTTTTTTTGTTACTTTTAACATGTGCATTTGTTTTACAGCCCCCGACGTGTAGGACCGAAGCCAATGCCTTCACGAGGGTCAGGCTATCCATCCTTTCGGCGTTTTGGCGATGATGATTCTGGCTCACCCTTTGACCGAAGCAGTGGATCCAGAATCCCTATGGCAAAAGACAATGATACAATGCCAACTTATCATAGGGACACCGCTTCAAGATCAGTTCTCCCTCGTGCGTCTTCGACAAAAAGAGCCAGCTCAGATACATGGCCATCTACGTTCAATAAACATGATTCTGAACTGAAGGCAAAGGATTCAATGCAAGGGTCGTTAGGTTCATATTCAAGGGACAGGGATTTCGGATCCCGGCTGACAGAAGGGAGAAATTCAGAATCGATATCAAGAAACAGAAAATCAGAAGCTACTACATCTCTTGACAAAGATTCCCGAACACCATTCTCAAAGAGCAACAACATTCTTGAGCCACATGGACGATTCTCACAAGATAGAAGCTCCGACTGGTCATTCAAATATGACGCTTATGAAAATGGCTCCATTCCCAATCTGCAGAATACTTCTCATGACGATAGTTCGACAACAGCTGAGTTGCCTTTCAATGACGGAAATGTTCCCCGTGACTCATCCATGGATCCTTCTCACGTCCGCCAAGAAATGCATGATTATAACGATAAACGATCACGAAAATCCAGACCATACCCCCATTACGATTTTAGACTAAGGGATAGACGCAGCATTTACAGAAACAGGGGCAAACGCACGAGTCCTTTTACTAGGTTTCCGAATAGCGGAGATTTGAGACATTCTAGAACAGAACGGGATACCCAGGAAAGGCAGGTGGCGAAGAAGGTATGTTAACTCATTTTGTTCTATGTTTAAGTTTCTATCGGTAATGATAGGAGTTGTGGTTTAGTAGAAAGAAGCATTGCCTTCAAACGCATACCTCTGGATGAAGAGTCGACCAGACTTTTACAAATTAGCCAGGGATTTCTCATATCTATATTACACATATAATGTATTACCTTTATATCCTTAAAAGTGTGTAATTTCTCATCCTCCTTCTCCTCCTTCTCCTCCTTCTTCTTCTTCTTCTTCTTCTTCTTATTATTATTATTATTATTATTATTATTATTGTTATTATTGTTATTCTTCCTCTTCTTCTTCTTCCTCTTCTTCCTCCTCTTCTTCTTCTTCTTCTTCTTCTTCTTCTTCTTCTTCTTCTTATTATTATTATTATTTTTATTATTATTATTGTTATTGTTCCTCTTCTTCTTCTTCCTCTTCTTCTTCCTCCTCCTCTTCTTCTTCTTCTTCTTCTTCTTCTTCTTCTTCTTCTTCTTATTATTATTATTATTATTATTATTATTATTTTTATTATTATTATTATTGTTATTCTTCCTCTTCTTCTTCTTCTTCTTCTTCTTCTTCTTCTTCCTCTTCTTCCTCTTCTTCCTCCTCTTCTTCTTCGTCTTCTTCTTCTTTTTCTTCTTCTTCTTCTTCTTCTTCTTCTTCTTCTTCTTCTTCTTCTTCTTTTTCTTCTTCTTCTTCTTCTTCTTTTTCTTCTGCTTCTTCTTCTTCTTATTCTTCTTCTTCTTCTCCTCTTCTTCGTCTTCTATTTTCTCTTCTTCTTATTCTTCTTTTTCTTCTTCTTCTTCCCCGTTCCTTATCTTTTTATTTTTTTCTTCTTTTTCTCCTTCTCGTTTTTTTTCTCCTCCTTCTTCAAGTCTTGTTTCAGAAAAAAATATTCATCCGCAGGCCAGCTGCCTTGATAATACCTGTTGATAGCACAGGTTAGATTGCTTCTTTGTTAGCAGCACAATTTGTTCAGTAATGGGTCATGCTCAGATGCCAAGATGCAAGTAACATTTCACTTAACCCAGCAGGTTTTGCAAAGTCAATATTTTCCTAATTGAGCTTGTATTAAACTGAAAGTCTTTTACAGATTGCATAACAGTTCTAAAAGAAAACAAATCTTTAAAAAAATGACCATTTAAAGTCCTTCGTGGATACTTGTATCCCAAAGCAATGGAATGTTTGTTTAAGCTCTGTACGTCTGTTGTCTTTTTAGGACATGCAGCTCTGGTATTTGTTCTCCATCTGATTTTCTGTTGCTAATTCTGTTTCCATACGTGTTGTTAATAATTGTAACTGTATATTTGTGTTACTCATTGTAGCTCTACACTTCTGCTGTTTGTCCTTGCTGTAGAATTATGTTACTTAAATTCTAGTTCTGTACTTTTGTTACCATTACTAGATATGTAGCTATGTTTCGTTAAAGAAATAAATTCAGTGGCGTTCTGTCAGCTTTAATAAATGTTTGGTTATAATTGTGATCTTCATCTAGCTACCCTTTTTGTGTTGCTGAATGTGTATCTTTGTTTAGATGATAATTCTATGTAGGTTAGTCTTTAAAAATATCCAGTCCCAACACTGGTAGCACAGTCTTCTTATGAATATGCTGTTTATAATCTGTTTCTTGGTGCTCATACTTATTTTTGCATGTCTTCATGACGTTGTATTTAAGTGCACTGGCTTGTTGGCATCTGGGCCCTATTTCCGGATCTATTCTCCCGTCCTCTGAGAAAATATTTCCTTGATATTTAAATTCTTCAACTTGCCTCAGACAGATCCTATTCTACCCTATTAAAAAAACCCTTTGTAATTAGGAAAGAAATGAAAACACGGATTAAGTCCTCTGAGGACAATCTGACACTAGCATGTAGTGTGAAGAGACGATAAAAGAATTTTGTACCTGAGTGAAAAGATCCTGGGATAATGTCAAGATTTAAATCGTTGTGAAGTCATTCAAGAAGGGTGGCATTTTACATGCCACAGATGGAACCAAGGATGAGGCAATACATGAAGACAGTGATTCGCCATCAGACACAAACCGAGACAAGCTAAAGAACTAGCATATAGAGGGGATTTTTGAGAGTAATGAGGTGTGTTCTGAATTCTATGATGAATAAAACGTGAGTTCCATAACTTTATATAATCATATTATTTTTGTCTAAATTTCCGGTCCTAAAATCATTGTGCATCCTATACATAGGATCATCTTACACTTGGTGAATTACAGCATATAATAAGTAAATCAGAAATGTAATTTAAAATGTTTCTTAATTTCAGATCGGGTCCTTCTCATACATGTCTATCGCGACTTTCTATGGAGAAGCTTACTGTAGAAAAAACAAATGTAGGGAATTTGGTATCGTCGGTTGTACGCACTAGTCCCTACCAGGTCACACCGGGTGGGGTTCTCTCCATTGTATGGCACACTTTCCACAAAACCCTCACCGTCCCTGGTTCCGATCATATGTACTTAAGAAGAAACTCTACAGGGGAGCATGTACAGCAAGAGTCTACCAATCATCAGTAGAAGTGATTTCTCGTCTGCTATTGTTTCGGCCCACGAGCTCTTAGACAATTTCAGAGGGTGGGCCCACCTGAGTTCATGAAGCTCAGTCTTGATCTTCTCCTGCTGCACGTATTACCGGATGTTCTCGGACAGTGACAAGACAAAATTGGTGACTATTCTACAGGTACTGTGAGATTTGGAGTTTATTACATAGTCTCTGCGGTAGCTTATTAGATCAGTCAGCATACCTAGACGACCAAGTGGCAAGTTTACGGTTGGTGTATCCGACACATGTTACATTAAATGTTTACTCATGTTGCCTGGGCTACTTTTGTACTTAGGTTTCTAGTTCAAGCGGTGTACATCTTTTCAGATTGCAGATTGGGATGGGCACAACCTGATGATCTACGGCATCACCTGGCCAGGTGGTGAGGCGAAGCCTCCTAAGGGAAAGCCTGATAAATATATTCTCAAAGTTGTTACCTGGCAAGAGGATCCCCATGTCATCTACCGAGAGATGAAATCGGACGAGATTGACCAGCGGAAAATTATTTGTGAAACCAATACTGTTCCCTGTACAGTTTACAACCGGGATAAGTTTCTACACCGGTAAGCGTTTATTTGATTATCTTCATCATTACCTTTACACTGCTTCTTCTTCTTCTTCTTCTTCTCCTTCTTCTTCTTCTTCTTCTTCTTCTTCTTCTTCTTCTTCTTCTTCTTCTTCTTCTTCTTCTTCTTCTTCTTCTTCTTCTTCTTCTTCTTCTTCTTCTTTTTCTTCTCTTCCTCCTTCTTCCTATTATTATTATTATATGCTGTTTATTCACAATTGAACATAAACTTCGACTATGTCATCGCAATCGTTAAGGACAACTGTTTATGACAGGTGGTATTAAAGCAAGCCGTTTTAGCATGAGTACTAGAAAGCGCTGTGGCAGCTGGCCAAATACTGACCACGCCACACATCGAGAATGTAGGTCTAGCCTTATATGACCAAAACACCCGAAGGCTGGAAAAGCGTCTTTTACTGTACCCTACATACATGTTGTAATGATTGCTATTTACATCTTTCCATATCTCCATATGATAGTGTTATACTGTGCTATTGGGAGGTATGGGAATCACATCCTATGGCTTTCTTCGAAGTCTGAGTGCATCAGCCTGAGAGGCAAGGAACCAGCAGTCTGCATACAAATGAGTCAGATCTTTAAAACGGATGCACACGTAACACTCAGGTTCTGGAACAGGACTGCAGTCCAGAAGTGGACGAGCAACCAGAGCTTTCTGCTGGAGTTTACAGCTGGTGAAAGCGAAGAAGAAGATATCCTGTGGCGATGGCGATTGTGACTATCAAGACACGCTCCTGTTGAGGAATGTCCTCCACATTTAGTGCAAGGGATTTCAGGACCATTGCTGCCATTTAGTCTATTTAATCAACTTTTTCTCAGAGGCTCAGCACTTAATCTAACTGCAGTCGATACAATATAAACCTAGTTCTTTGAACCTAAAACTGCTCCTCTGCAAAAATTAGTTGAGTACTATACTTGCTTTGTATAAAACATTATGAAATGAGTGATTTCTTGTAAGCTAAAATGCATTCAGTTTGATTAACTTTCAATAAGACACGTAGTAACGCTCTTCCCGACCATGAATTTAAACTGATTTTCAAACTAAAACTTTCAGACTTTGCTATCAAAGAGGTATCTTAGAAATGTCTCGGAATGTATTATGGTTCTGGCCTTTTCCAAGATGGCCGATGTTTTAACACCCCCATCCTCCCCCAAATATCGGGTTTTTATTAATCACCTGGTTGGTACCTATATAATTATGGTAAATATAATTTTAGACTGGACATACATTGTGATCTCAATCATATCTGATGGCAGATTCTGGCTTTCAACATATATTTCTTATTATCCTGAGATCTTTACATCAGTGTAAGGTTTAGGCAGAATTTCGGAACGGTCTTGATGTTTAAATGTGTTAAAGCTTTGAATGTTTTATGTAACATAAATTTATTACCTATTCCACCTGTATACATCTTTCTATGGCCTTTCGGTACAGTAAACTTGTAATGAATGCGTCCTTCTATAGTTATCAGTACAGTAGAAGGTTGACATCTTCCTATGACCACCCACACAGCAATAACTGACCGTGTGCATCTCAGATGGCCATCGATACATTAAAAACTGAATGTATTCAACTGTTCTTGATGAATAAGTTTATTTAAACCCCACTAGGACCGAACAATGAGCGATCTACTTCCGGTGACACAAAGTGTGGAATGACGCTATTGGCATTAGAATCCCTCAAGTGCAGACCCTAGAAGCCCCGTTCAACTGTAAGGTTCTATTGGGACCACACACGGTTAGAAAGTAACCTGAAGTCCAGAAGGGTGAGGTAGCTAGTTACTCTGTTATTGATCATTAGTACCAAAAATATAACTTATGTAGTTTTCATAATCATCGATACAACAACCTTGAATGTATAGAATAGTATAAAATTTTGCTTGCTAGTAGGTTCAATAAAAATTAAATACATATATTTTCTATGGTTGTCTATAAAATAACAATTAATGTACGCGATTATGAGCGATTCGTCATCATCATCATCAGTTCTCTTTATGCCTAGTGGCATGCTTTTCTATGCTGTCATTCTTCAGTGCAGTTTTCAATGTCAGAGATGCTGCACTCGGGTCACTGTCAATCGTTAGTCTCATTAAGCACGATTACCGAACAAAAACTATTTAACATATGTAATCTTCCACAATCAGCCATGCAAACAAAATTTGATCGTGTGCAACTGCACCTGACAATTAATACAGTAAACAACCCGCGTTTTTCTCTTTTTTTTTCCGTTATCTCAGTCATCATCATCATCATTTCCTACTGCTGCTGTTAAGCAACGTGGGGCGGAACAGTTTGCTATCCTTGTCTTGATGGGCAGCAATGTCTATGTCATTTCGTGTCGATGTAGAAGCTTTTCATGTGTTTAATATATTTTCTCTTATAGCGGCGTTTGCTTTCACTTCAGATCTTTTCTTGTTTAGCCCCAGCGTTGGTAGTTGTTCTGGCTGCATTATTTCTAGGTGACCAAATCATTTTATCTTCTGTTTCTTAAAGAATTTGCTGCACGGTGTTGTTCCTACAGTCTGTATGATAATGTCTATTTTAACTTTATCTTCAATAAAGAACATAAAGTCTTTCAAATTGCCTTGTTATATTGCTAATCCTTTCCTCTAAATATCCCGAAGATAGCGTAGCTGGATGGATGATTACAGCGATTGCATATGCCTAAGCATTTTCTTGATACTGTTGTGTGGGATATCCTGAGGAAAACTAACCAGCAGATGTTTATGTGGGGTCTCTACGGTGTCGTTTATCTGATTCAAGATCTATCTTATCTCTGTCGTGCCATGTTCTCCAAGTGCATCATATATTTATTCAGAGATATTGTCTGGCCCTAGAGAATTGTCCTGTTTCATTTTCTTGATAGGCATTTTCTTCCTAATCGTTTAATGTGTGTGGTCCTTCCATACCCTTGTATACGCGTATCACTACTTCTTTTTCTGAGTTTCAAGTAATTTATGGTAATTAGTTCATCTTATTTACTTAATGTTTATAATCTTTGAAACCATCGAGTATTTCTTAGGTTTTCTCTGACCATCTACAAGGCATATACATTTCCCCAATTATATGTCTGTCCCTTGACCTTTGAATTAATATTCATTGTTTAAATAAAGGTATACTGTCATGTTATACCTTTCATTAATTTCTGGACTCTGACTTAAATTTTAGAATTTGAGTTATGCGTTTGTATCCATTTTAGAATGGCTTGTTTATATAGAGTGCAAATTAGTTATTTCTAGAACCATCTCCTGTTTGCTAGGAGAAAGGATATCGCGCATATTCAGAACAGACTGAAAATCAACCAATTTTAGCAACCTTGTCATTCTCTTTCTAGAACTATCACTGCTTTATTAACAGAAGGATATTATGCAAAAGAGTAACCCAGTTATATAAATAATGTCTAGTGTCATTTCGTTGACGTGCCCTATCGAAGAGAACCCAGTCGTACTCGCTTTCTATAGGACACTAGAAGGCGAACTGTCAACCTAATTAGTGTATGTAGGTGCAGAACTAGATGATGCAATTGAGACGTAATTAGAAATTCCCACGGTGAGAACCTACATAGTAATCAAGTTTGTGCATACGAGAAGCTTCCAAACACAGTTTAGTGAGCAGAAAACACGTTTCACACATTTCAGCGACTGTGTGTAAATAGTGGGATAATAAACCATTTGAGCAGCCTTTAGTTTTCGGGACTCAGAAGAAGAGGAGCCGATCATACGGACTCGCCAAAACGAGAACCTTCGGTCACTGAGACTCGGAGGAAGAGGAAGTCATAGGGACCCTCCCAGGAGAGAACCTTCAGCCCCTGAGACTCAGAGGAAGAGGGAATAGTTATATCGTCTCTCCCAGACAAGAACCTTCAGTCCTCTGATTTAAAAGAAGAGCGATTAATAGCATAGACTTTGGCATGTCAGGAAGAAACTTCGTCTGTGGAGATGTTAGCTCAACACTAGAAGGAGAGGAACCAGTAGAATGGAGCTTCAAAAATAGACACTGGATAGGAAACATGAACTGAAACGTCGAACTTAAAAGGCAACAGACAAAATGCATGGATCCATTGTCCACATCGACACATTTGGTAAAAAACATTATGTTAGAGTCGAAGATCTAACCGTTAGTACCAAAAAGGCACTAGAAGCCATAATGAACAAAACCAGTTCACAAGTAAACAAAGATGAAAATTACAACTCGACACTTTTAGTAAATAACTTAAGAGACAAAAAGGCAGCCATACGAATATCACTGATACTTTTCGTCTGGTTATTGATATAATCCAAAAAAGGCAGCATATACAAAAGGGAAGTTGTTTCGTGACAGTTTATTATACAAGCCTCAGAGTGAGATGTAAAGGGTGCAACTAGCAAGACATCATCACCATTATCAACACGATCATCTGTGTCCACATCTTTAATCTTCTAATTGGTTTCTCCGGATAGCAAACCAAAGACGAACCTTGGTATGACATCAACAGACACAAAGAAAAGAGATGTGCTAGTCTGTTGGTTCCTTGTCCGTCAGCCAGATACACTCCGACTTAGACGGAATTTTTATGTTGTTTCGAAATATGTTACTTCATGAATAAATCCATCCGTGTTGAATTTTTTTCAACTTGATTCTACAGATAAGTTTCATTTAGTTGCTTCAGACTTGTTATGACTATAACTTTGTTTTCGATGTTTTTGTGGGGTTTTCAGTATTTTTTTTTAGGTATTATATCTTCTTCTTCTTCTTCTTCTTCTTCTTCTTCTTCTTCTTCTTCTTCTTCTTCTTCTTCTTCTTCTTCTTCTTCTTCTTCTTCTTCTTCTTCTTCTTCTTCTTCTTCTTCTTCTTCTTCTTCTTCTTCTTCTTCTTCTTCTTCTTCTTCTTCTTCTTCTTCTTTTTCTTCTTCTTCTTCTTCTTCTTCTTCTTCTTCTTCTTCTTCTTCTTCTTCTTCTTCTTCTTCTTCTTCTTCTTCTTCTTCTTCTTCTTCTTCTTCTTCTTCTTCTTCTTCTTCTTCTTCTTCTTCTTCTTCTTCTTCTTCTTCTTCTTCTTCTTCTTCTTCTTCTTCTTCTTCTTTTTCGCGCTCACCAGCTGTAAACTCTGACTTTGAAGGAAGCTTCCAATTAGTCGACTTTTACGAGATGCTTGTGGGTAGGCAGTGGGTCTATTCTTGTTTTCCCTATAATAGGACCCCAGATCTCACACCGGGAAGGGGTTATACGTTTTTCAGTGTTTCAGTTTTACTGTAAGAATGGACTCGATCCTATCAGAGTCTATACGAACATTAAAAAAACTCCAATGACGAGAGCAAATAATTATCAAAAACATGGCATCGCTGATAACTTTTCATTTAACAGTTGTAGTTTCTATAGTAGTGTAATACTTGCTCCTCTATTACCTGAAGGTTTAGTGATCCAATCCCAACAGATATATATATATATATTATAACCAAGCCTGGGTTCCTAGATCGACAAAACCCCAAAAAATTAGTAGAAGTCACAAACCCCACCATGATATTCACACATTAAAAAATAAACCGTAAATGTAGACTGGTCTTGATTAAACTGGACTAGTAAAATAACAAACACAAAAAATTGGACAGCTGTGGTAGCGAGCTTACCTGTCGACCAAATGGTTGTACATTCAAATCTTATGAATCGGGGTTGCTAAAATTCACCTAAGCTTCCGTGTCATCCAAGCACGAAAATTAAGTTTTTCTGGTAAGAAAAATGTGTCCTAGGGGATATTGACAGCACAACTTATCAAGTACAGACTGGTCTGTCAATATAGCACATACATCACCTATATACCTTACAGGCAAAGCGGAGAAACGCGCCCATCGGCTTACCAATGGGATCTACTATAAAGATCCCTTTTCTCGCCTCAGGCGTATCTGGCATATGGGAAGAGCGCCCATATTTTTACAGACCATCAGCACTCTGTGGTCAGCATTACGCAGGCTGTCTTTCCTCTCCCAGGAGAGCCCATCCTAGAACCCATTTTAAGCTGGGTCGACCTGCGACGACCCATACCATTAAAAAAAATCCACGCAGCCAACAGTGGGTTTCGATCACGGTACATTGGTCGACTTATCCATGGTTGGTTGGTTTTTGTGGCTATGGTTTTTACAGGATGAGGTAGCCTACCTCAAGCCCAACCCTAACCTTAGTCGCCTCTTACGACATGCCTGGTAGGGTGCAGTGTCACTATTGCTTCTCGTGGGAGCCACGGTGACACACGGTCTGAAAGTCCATAAAGGAAAGACAAAGATAATGAGAATAAATCAGGCAAATAGTAATGTAGTTTCTCTTAATGGCACCCCACTCCAAGACGTGGAGTCGTACACCTATTTAGACAGTAATGTAGATAACTTTGGAGGAACTGATATAGATATTAAAATAAGAATACAAAAGGCAAGAGGGGCTTTCATAGCACTAGGGAATTTGTGGAGGTCAAAAGAAATTAAAAGAAATACTAAACTAAAAAAATTTTATTCTTATGTCAAATCAGTACTATTGTATGGGGCAGAAACATGGAGAACAACCAAGGCAATTACTAATAAATTACAGTCATTCATTAACTGCTGCCTGCGCAGAATAGAGGGAATAAAATGGTATGATAGAATAACTAATGTAGAACTTTGGGAGAGAACTAAACAGGCTCCAGTGGACCAAGAGGTGAGGAAAAGACGCCAGCGTTAGATAGGACACACACTGAGAAAACAGGAGAACAGCATAACTAGATAGTCTTTGCATTGAAACCCACAGGGGCATAGGAATAATGAAGGCCAAAAAACACATGGAGAAGAGAGCTGGAGAATGAGGTTAGAAAGATGGGGAGGACATGTACAGAGCTCCATGCAATGGCGAAGGATAGAACGACTTGGCGTGAGTGTGGTTGAGGGCCTATGCTCCATTGGGGGATAGAAAGGCAGAAAAAGAAGACATTGTTCGAGTCGGACTCACAACGTCTTAGCCACAGACGCAGTTTGATCTGTTATCAACTAAACATGATTAATACGCTCTATTGAATGTTGAATTAAGAATCGATATCACAGTGCTAATGACACTCCCAATAGAGCTCCGTCCCCATCTTTAGCAGCAAGCTAAGAGTTCCAATTCCGATGGCACCAGTAACTGTAGAATTGTATATCCGTCTTGCCTTTCCCATGAGTGTGGAGCGCTGGACATATCCTATTGTAACTCCTCACAGCGCCATTCTCCCCAGACAATAATGATCTATCTGTGCTTCCGCACTGTTCAATCGCTCCCAAAAAGCCCTCACTATATCCAGCTTGGCATACATCAAGCGGTGCAGAACCGGTCATTATATCTGCCTGTTCATTTCCCAACACATCGGCATACCTTGAGAAAATATCCAAAGGATGCTAACTACACGGGACCTCTGAAGTGATGCTTGCCACTGTGCACGGATCATGCCTGTTTCCACCTTTCTAAACATGTACTGTGAGTCAGTTACAATCACAGCATGTGTCTACAGCTGATGATCAAGCCAGCGGATGGCAGCAGTCACTGCTTCCACCTTTAAAAATATTACAAGCCGGGTCCGTTGGTTTATATACTAAAAGCGCTATTATGTATGTTTAATATTTCTAAAATAATAGAAACTGATTCACGGGGCTAACTATGCTCTTTTATTAATGCTGAATACTCTTGAGAGCATGAAAAGAAGTCCTTTTATTTACTCTACCAAAGCATCACGGAAGCCAGAGATATGTGCAAGTAAAGAACACTTTTTCATTTGCGTTAGCCTCTCAGAAAGGCGGTTGTCAAGCTGTTTGTTGTTCACTTATCTCCTTGTGAGATGCAATTTTTCATTATTTGAAGCCCCACTTTGGCTCTTGCCAGGGGCCGCAATATAGCCCGACCATTATTATGGTCTAATGGCTGAACGCGGTTTCTGGGACCTCTCCACGGTGATCCTCGTCCACTTGGTGGCATTTTGTGTCATCTGGTGTTTATCGCTTGAGTGATGTCCTGGTGTGGTAAAAATCGACTACTACTATCTGTTGTTCACAGCTACGATGTCTTGTTTGCGACTTTGGCCGAACGCACCTGATTTCTGCAAAATTCTAGTTGATCACATTTTACTACAGGAGTGTTGAGTTAGGAGGAAGGGAGCAGTGGGTCACTTCTTTCCTCTTACTCCCTAACTGGGCCCCTGGAACCCACATGGGGAGTAAATAATAGGAGTATAATATACACATACGATCTCTCTATCGCCATTTGGCCTTTAAAGAATATTAGCGTAACCCCATAACATAATATTTTGTAACTATATGAGTGAGTGACGTTACACAAACCAGGACAGCATAAAGAGGATTTAACACTCGGTGACGCAAAATGCCACCATTCGGATGCGAATTCCCCCTGTCACAAGTCCCAAAAACTCGGATCAACCATTAGGGTATATTAGGGCCACCGCCGAAATCTGAGGTGGGGCATTTGAAATTTAAAAGAAAAAAAATTGCTTCCCATATTGGGGCGAAGTTCTTTTGGTAAGTAACTATATCGACTTGGTTATCGAATTATAGTTCTTACTCTGGCACGGTAGTTGAGGGAGCTAACGCAGTAAATGTTTTCATCTTTCTGCAGCACAAATGGAACAAAACAGATGTGCTGCACTGGTCTTTCCATCGATCTACTCAAGCGTTTGGGGGAGATGCTCAACTTTGACGTAGAACTATCTGAGGTCGCTGATGGAAACTACGGAAGCCCACTCAATGTAAGTTTACAGTGCTTTATCCGATACAAAGTGTCAATTCAGCTCGTTTGAAAGGTTATTATTTATAAGTCAGTCAGTAGCATATCCTTTGCAGAATCATGCTCCCATAACAACCCTCCTGAAAACTTCTCGATCACAAGCAAGATGTACCGCGTCCGATACAACCAACTAGAGATTATCCACGACCTCCTGCACCCATCTCCTCTTTGGCCTTTCTCTTCCTCTCTTCCCAGAATTATTTATAAGGCATGAACAATTATTTTCTAAAAATGAGCCAAATCTTTTCTCTCAAGTGTGGGCATTAAACTGTGTACATTCTTCTGCATTGCATAATACGGTGCGGTGATCCAGTTCCATTTCCTTTAGATTTGTCCATTAAATTATGGCTACATTTTATTCAGTAACTATTTTATGCACCTAATATCGTTAGAAATCTCAGCGACACTTTCAAATCAAGACATGACAAAGTCAAACATAAATGCGATACTTCAGATCCACCAGAGGCAACAAAAATTCCTGTATAAGTCTTTCACTTTTTAATAGAATAGACCAATAAGAATCGCAAAAGAAGAACTGAGGAAGAAAACAAAATATGCATCACACCCAAACGTTCACAAGAAGACGATTGGCACGGTTTGAACGTGTTTGCAGAATACTTCGTGAGATTCTGACAGGGGCAATTCCCAAGTGAACGGCAGATGAGAAGAGAACTGGCCGACTTAGGGTTCACTACACCAAAATTATGTTTTTTTTTTTTTTAATTTACAGAGTTAGAGCAATTATTTTATAATGGTCATTTTAAGGGATACATGTTTTTACACGTGCATACTTTAGGTGTTAAATGTAAAAAAAAAAAAAATTATGGTTGTCATGGCAATAGCCGCCATCTTGGAGGAAAAAGCGACATGTACTTAGAATCCTAAAATCTTAAGAACGTATTAAAAATAGTTGATAGATTCATGACCTTTGGTGATATTTAGAGGTACAGGTCTAGTTTATTTACTTTAAACATGTTTTTAAATATTTTTCATCGAATTTTAAAATGTAGGTTTGTTGAAAAAGTCAAAAAAATCTAGCATCATAAGACAACAATCACATTTTTTTTTAAAAAACTTTTTAAAATCTCATTTAAAAAAAAAACAGTAACTATAATACTGTTTAAGGAGTATCCGTACTAAATTTAATCTTTCTAGTCTTTATATTAGCTGAGATTTTAGGATTTCACACACACACAGCAAACAGAAATATAGAAATGTGAGAAAACTAACTTTTAAACTTTTTTTATCTTTAAAAAGTGCATGGGTTGGTGCCCTTAATATTGACTTTTCAATGCTAAATTGTTTACAGATGACATAAATTTTGTGTGTAATCTGTTCTACAAATGCCGAACTATACAAAAATGAACACATTGAAAAAGTAATATTTTTGTCATAAATTTGAAAAAATGCCCTGTAGTTAGTTAGGCAACCCAGAGAAGGACAGTAGAAAATGATATCTTATGCAGAAAAACAACAGATATGCTCCCGTCAAGTTCACTCGTAAAATACCTTTAGTGTTTATAAGGGCGTGAATAGGATTTAGAAGACAGACAGACAGACAGCTATATATATATATATATATATATATATATATATATATATATATATATATATATATATATATATATATACATGCACACATACACATAGACCAGTAGCACAGATATATCATAAAATGGCTGACATTTACTCTGACTGAACATCTTCACTATACAACACTGTAATAAATCCCGTAGAAAGTCGCTTCAGCTAATTACTAAATGTGTGGTAAAATCTACCATACTTAATACGTATTTGAAATACAACACAATATCTATCCAAGAGCCAGCCTAAATTACTCACCAACAAAGAAAATGTACATAACATACATTGGGTTTTAGTAATTCCTTTGAAATTTGATTAGACTGGTGACCTTACTATTTCTCATCATGTTTTTTTTTTCCACACCTACACATTTGCAGTCTGCAAGATAAACATCCTATGACTGAAAGAACCATACTTATAATAAGAGTCCAACAAGAGCCAATCCTAGAAATCCTATTCAACCGTTAAAGAAGTGATACTGTGATCCCTGACGGTTGCGACGTAACCTGTTGTTAACTGTGTATGGATGTGTGCTGTCTATCGTCCTATCTCCTGTTTATTATGTTTGAATAACCTGCTGCTACTAGCGTGTCGGTGTGTGCTGTCTGTCTTCTTCGCTCGTGCTCCTTATGTTGCGACGTAACTTACTGTTAATTGCATTTGGGTGGGTGCTGCTTTTCTCATGTTCCTTGCGTACTTTGCAGCCCATAGAGACGTATACACAGGGTGAGAGTGCTTATCAATGTTCCCATGGACTCGTTTACGTCCTTCAGTATCTATAATGAACAAACAATATATTGATCAGCACTCGTAGAAAACAAGTAAAAGGGCACACTAGACAGCATAAAAATATAAAGCTATAATTACCGTGCCACGAATCAAATCCCCTCCTCAAAATGGCATGTGTGCCTGGCTATGGAAAAAAGTGTACTAAGATACATGATTAACTAGGCATCCCGAGAATATGTGTGTCTTTATTAGCCATGTCTATCGTACAGCTTGAAATCCACAGCTATCTAGTACGGACAGAATTTGTCTCAAACCATTGAAATGGCACCATATGTTAATATAATCCTTTCTTATTTATGTTTTGTTATATTTTTTCGATGGATTAACATCATGTCACGCGGGTGCAACCCATAAGTGCTCGGTCGTAACTCAAGGTTAGAGTCTGAAGAATCTCAGCGCAGTGCACGAACTTCGTTGCACCGGCGAGGATCCTGAAATACTTTGGGTATATTATTAACTACACATTCTGCCCGTGCAGCGCCGTTAAGTTACTCTTTTCGATTTTCAACTGCCAAGGAAAATGTTTTACGTGTGCAGGAATACACACGTTTGTCCGATCCTACTACCCAGAAAACAGGTCAAACTACTTGAAGTCCACGTAAAAAAAATCCCAGCCTTCACCAGGACTTCAACCCGGGACCTCCAGCACTCAATGCGGACACCATACCTCGAGACCACTCAGCCCCCCCCCCCCCCCCCCCCAACCGCTTCCCGCGTGGTTCATATATTTGTCCCCAATAACTCTACAATTCCATCATCTTCTCCTTGATCTATTGTCGGTGCCTCTTCTTGTATACTGCCTGCTGGTGGTCAAGTGAAATAGCTGAATCATTTCATATTTTTTTTTTTAATGAAACCTACCGCTACCACAACTTACATTTTCTCTCTTTTGATCTCATTGTTTTCCAGATCCGCAATCACTGTATAGAAGTCACTTGTATATGCTGCTTTACCTATTTGGTATACATTTTTTATTAGCGCATTCAAATACACATTCACTGCTTTTATTTAGCATTATCCAATAAATTTGCCTTTCTTATTTATGTTTATTGCCATTAAGTTCTAGTACACTTGGATAAGACGCCGTAGGTTGGACAAATGTGCTGTTAGCTTTCTTGTATGAATATTCACTACATTCAATCTGTCTCATCTGGGAATGTTTCTTTCCGCCATGGTGACTTTTTTTTTTTTTTTTTTTTTTTTTTTTAATTAAACTGGCTTGGGATCTACAATTTGGTATTTGAGAAAGATTGTAGGTGATGGAATGTGAGAAACGTCTACATTGTGTAGGTGTCAGTAGGTTGTTTGTGTAAGTTTTTACATTGTGTAGGTGTAAGTAGGTTGTTTGTGTACGTTTTTACATTGTGTAGGTGTCAGTAGGTTGTTTGTCTACTGTTATTAGAAATGTTATTGGATAATTTTTGTGGAGAGCAGTTGAACGTGATGAAAATGTCTCATTAGTTTCAGTAATTGATTCTGAAGGCAAGTCTTTTTTGAATCTATTTACAGTTAATTTAACTGAATAGTCTTTGCATATACATGGATATATACTAGGGAGTAGCACAGTGTGTGTTGGGAATGACTTCCTCTTCTTCAGCACTTCGAGCTCCTGAGGCGCATTGCTGCAGATTTCACTCGCGTCACTCATCTCTCTGGTTGGCCTTCTCTTTCTAGCTGATAACATCAAGTGTTTGAGGTTCTGTCTGTATATTATCTCTTTATCGTTTTCTTGGTAGGCCTTGTGGTCTACGACCATTCATCTCCCTTGTGTACACAGTTATTACCTTTTTGTAATCTGACATTCTCTCAGTGTGCCCTAGCCATTCAGGCTGTTAGCTCTCATAATGCCAGTGATCAGTGGTGATTTAGACTATGAATATCGTTAATGTTTCTTACTCTCCACGACCCGCTGTTTGCATATTTGATGGGTGCAAAAATTCGTTGTAGGACATTGTTATAAAAAAATTGTAATAAGGCTTCGTCTCTTTTTATTGTGCTCCAAGTTTCAGAGCTATTGAAAACGACTGGTCTTATTACCGTTTTATATATTTTGATTTTGATGTAGCGAGATGGAGACTTTGACTTTAGCAGATGTTAAAAGGCATAGCATACTTCATTTCCAAATTGTAATCTAGATCGTATTTCTTCTCTCTGTAGCCGTTGAAGTTTGCAACCAAGTACTTATATGTTTGCGTCCGTTTGATTTTATCATTATCGACTTGTATGTGGCCGGAATTTTTTATCCGCTCCCCGTCTTGTTATAACCATGTATTCTGTCTTAAATTGATTGATAATTAGTCCCATTTTGTGAGCTTCCTTTTTCAAGAGAATTAGTTCCTTCGTTCGTTCGTTCGCTCGTTCGTTCGCGATCACCAGTTGTAAACTCCGGCTGAAAGTTCTGGTTGTTCGTCCACTTCTGGACTGCAGTCCTGTTCTAAAACCTGAGTGTTGCCAGTGTATCCCTTTTACATATCTGACTTATTTGTATGCAGACTGCTGGTTCCTTGCCTCTCAGGCAGATGCACTCCGACTTCGAAGGAAGCTCCCAATTAGTCGACTCTTACGACATGCTTTTGGAGTAGGCAGTGGGTCTATTCTTGTTTTCCCTATAATAGGGCCCGGGAACCCACACGGAAAAAGAAAATCAGTGTTTTTACAGTCTCATTTTCTTCAACGATAACAACCGCATCTGCATAACTTAGTATTCCTATAGTTTATCCTGTAGTACAATCTTCTTTCAGTTTCCCTATAAGTTTCTCCAGGGCCAGGTTGAAAAGAAGTAAGGGCAGAGAAACATCTTGCTTCAAACCAGATTTTATTTGAAAATGGTCTGACTTTCCGCCTTGATATGTTACTATATTATAAATGCAGAGTCACACTAACCCGAACATGTATGTTCATAGAGGTTTTATGGGTAGAGTAGGAATATTATATCAGTTAATATGGCATTTAAATAAATCACAATATTGTTCCAACCATTTCATTCATGACTTTTAATGAAAAACAAAAAGTAAAGACATTTCAAGTCAGTTACATCAATCTTAGCTTGTCAAATGTTTTAACCCGTCTAATTCTTAGTCTTCCACTTCTACTTCCGTCACTAAAGGGCTTTAATATCAAATTGTTGTTGTTTATAGCCAAGTTAGTTGCGTATCCTTTACAGGACGTTGCAGAACCAACCCTAACCCCTGGCTGTTGTGTGGTTTCTCTAGGCAATTTACATCCAGTAGTTTGCCATTCTGGACGGTCGGCTTTCTTGATACCACTGTCGAAACCAATGCAAGGCGCGTTGCCCGCAGCTGGGATCGAACCTGGCATTCCGGCATTACGAAGCGAAGCGTTCGCATCGACTTAGCCACAGAGCCGACTTATAGCCAAGGCTGTGATATTTAAGATTATCATACTGGCATCTCCCGTTTTACCAAATCCTTAATATATCGCTTTTTAGGACATGTTTGCTGTGGAGCCGTGGCCTTTTCTACCCCCTCTCCCTACCCCCTTTTCCCTAATAGGACCTGAAATCCACAGAGAGAAAAGATATAGTGATGTGGGTAGACAAGTCTTTTTTCGTCGTCACTGTTTATTTGATGTAATTTTTGACATTACAAGAGCTGTGAAACTGCACACAGCTTTGCGGCATGAACGTATATGCCAGTTTGCTACCATACACAGTGACCACTCAATAACTTTCCTGTTTTTTCTCTCATTATAAGGACAGTCAACTGTAGACATAGTTTAGTGAACCGTTTTTAAAATTAAGCTCTGACAACCTCGTGTATGGATAAGACAATTGTAGTGCTTGCGTGAGACATGTCATGAGCGGTTGAGTAAACCCGTTTTTATTATTTGAGCGAGACATGCTCCTGGTGTTTGGTAGAGGACATAGCACGTCGGTTAGAATATTTCATTCTGTGGAAGTTCGAATGATACCTGAATCAGATGTTTGAAAGAGATATATCAGGGACGTTTCAGTGTCACTGACGTTTGAACGAGCTTTATCAAGGACATTTTAGTGAATCCTGTGATTTCTTCGGGAGACATATAATGGTAAAAAGTAAAGTAAAGATCCCTTATTACGCCTAAGGCGCATCGGGTATATGGGCAGAGCGTCCCATGTTTTTACAGACCAATCGGCACTCGGTGGGTAATGTGGTCAGCATTACGCTGGTCGTCTTTACTTCCCCAGGACAGCCATCCTGGTACCCATCTCAGGCTGGGTCGACCTGCGACGTCCCATACCACGATAAAAATCCACGCAGCCCGCAGTGGGTTTCGATTGCGGTACTTTGGATTACGAGTCAGACTCGCAACGTCTTAGCCACGGACGCCGCGAAAAGGCATAATACTGTTCTCATATTATGTGACATGTATAAATAGAAACTTATGTTCTTCAAGGGTTTGAACACCAAAACAACATCATGACACACGGGTAGTAACTCATAAGTGCTCCGTTCTTTTTCTACCTCAAGTATGAGACCGAAGAAGCTCAGCACAGTGCACAGGCTCTGTAGCACCGGCGAGGATCCCAAAATACTTTAGGTAGACTTTTAACTCCAAATTTTGACTCGGGAGCGCCGTTATTCAACACTTTGCCGATTTTAAACTGCCAAGTAATTTTTTTACGCACACAACAATGCAACGGGGCGTCCGATCTCACTACCAGAGACCGGGTGGGGGGAATTACTAGAAGTTCAGGAGCACGTAAAAAAAAATCTTGCCCCTACCGGGAATTGAACCCGAACCTCTAGCAGTCAAGGCGGACACCATGCCTCCATACCACGCAGCCCCCTAAACTCATGTGCTCTGCATATGAATCTTCAACACACTCACAGCATATAGTAATAACAAGGCGAATTGGCATGAAAGTAACTTTTGGGGAGCACCGGTCAAACTTTAATGGAGCAGGCGTCAAACTTTGTGGGAGCAGGGGTCAAACTTTGGGAGCAGTGGTCAAACTTTGTGGGTGCAGAGGTCAAACTTTATGGGAGCAGCGGTCAAACTTTTTTGGGAGCAGAGATCAAACTTTTTTGGGAGCAGAGGTCAAACTTTGTGGAAGCAGGGGTCAAACTTTAGGAGAGCAGGGATCAAACTTTAGGGGAGCAGGGATCAAACTTTGTGGGAGCAGGGGTCAAATTTTGTGGGAGCAGGGGCCAAACTGTGTGGAAGCAGGGGTCAAACTTTGAGGAAGCAGGGTTCAAACTTTGAGGAAGCAAAGGGTCAAACTTTGTGGAAGCAGGGGTCAAACTTTAGGAAAGCTGGGGTCAAACTTTGTAGGATCAGGGATCAAACTTAATGGGAGCAGGGGTCAAACTTTATGGGAGCAGGGGTCAAAATTTATGGGAGCAGTGGTCAGTTCACACATTGTTAAGGACCTAAGCCTTGCTGAAGTGCCTATAAAATAAGAATAATAATAATAATTTTCTGTGAGGGAAAAAGTATATAATTATCTTAAAAAAAAAGTGACATGTTTAAGTGAACACTTTGAAAGTCTTCAGGGACAAGGAGCCCCCCACCCTTCCCATCAAAATGTCTGAGCCCTAATGTTCCAGCGCCCCTGTCAATGACTGAGCGAGACAAATCATTATCCTCCTTGGCGTGAAATACCTCAGCTGGTAATGATCTTACCCAATCCGCAGCAAAACATGACAGAATGGAATGGGATGCTCGGCACCCTCATCAAGAACCAGGCTGACATGGCTATTGGGGCCCTGTCTATCACCCCAGAGAGGTCAATGGCTGTGGACTTCTCTGTGCCCTTTCTGCAGACGGGAATCACTATCATCGTTGCTCTGAGGCACGGAGTCATCTCACCAACTGCTTTCTTAGGTGAGTATTTACATAAGTTGAAGTACGAGAGAAGTCTGCAGCGTTTAGGTAGCTAGATTCGAGTGTATTGTGATATGTTATTTTGTCGGCGCTTTTATCTCTGGTGGTACGCAATGGTTTGCAGTACCGGCACCTGTTCTAGGCATCATTCTTTCAGTGCTACTGTAATATACACTTTGTGGTAAGTACCGGCCCTATTTTTTTCCTAAGAAACAAAGCTCTGTATATTGTCAAAATAGACGTCACTAGACATTGAGAATTACAATGCGTGCTCAGTCTTTCGATGCAGAAGCCATCTTTGTATAATCCTACAGAATGTCCCCATTTGAAATCGGCAATGTCTCCTGTCTTGGAATAAACGCCGTCCGAGACGTTCTTCTCTAGGCTTTACTTGCAAGTTCATTTGAAGATCTCGTTTTTTGCAGAATAAAAACTAAATATATTGGCTGCTACCGCCCCTCTGAGCGGGGAGCTGCTTTGACGTGGAGAAGGCTGTCTGGGGTCAAAGGGACAGTACACTAGTTAGACAGATTATACATTGAAATTTAAATAATGCGGACACAAACAATACATTGCACAATTTAGTGCCAGGCATATTTCGCTGTATCTTGTCAGGTGCGTTACTACAGAGTTACATCAACATGAAAGGAAGCATAAAACTGAATAAATCCAACTGAAATGCGAAAAGTTTCTCTCGACACATTGTGTATTTTGGCAGCCGGAGGCTCTCCGTATTCACGTGACTACCAGGGCAACACTTAATTGTGCAATGTATTCATTACAGGAAAACATTGTTTTGCACACTGAAAGGCTAATTCAACCGGGAGGGCTGTTGCGTAGGGATTCAGGGGAGATAATAGTACTGTTAGCATTTCGACTCTTGGTTGGCTACTGAAGAAGAAGAATAAACCCGCTTGGTATCCCGAGTGTAGTTATCTCAGTTCTGGGTTAATTATTTATATCATTTACTGACGTAACACTTTACGACTCTTCAAAGTCAGATCAAATTAAAAAGTTATGAGACATGCGTATATGCCATATTGAGGTGTGTGCATTCAAAATGAAAAAAAAAAAGAACAAAAAAAGACATAAATATGCTCTAAGAGTTGAACCAATGGCAGTTTCAAAGAGTGAACAACCTAGGTCAGAAGAAGACAAAGCTGAAGATTTAGTTTCGTAAAACGTCGTTGTGGGTACGGCACTTAACTGACTGACTGAACCCAATGACCCAATAAAAACAAATTTGATAAACGTTAGAGATAACTATCTTGATAAATTATGCCACACACAAAAGACATACACACACACATACACGCACATACGACACACATATACAAAACACTTCTACTAACAATGGGAAACATTCTCTTCTCTGTCTTTTGTCTGTGAGTGAATCGCACTACTGCTACAGTAAATTCTTTTATCAAAATATAAAAAAAGTTAATAAGACTGGTCGTTTTATGCGGCTCTGAAAAATGGAGCACAACTAAAAGAGATGAAGGCTTATTACAACTTTTCAAAAACAGACTATTACGAATTTGTAGACCCATCGAAGATGCAAACAGCGGGGAATGGAAAGTGAAAAGCAACAACGAAAATTCATGATCTGTTTAAATCACCATTGATCACTGGCATCATGAAGGCTAATAAACTGAAATGGCTAGGGCATAATGAGATGATGTCAGATGACAAAGAGGTTAAAAAATTGTCTACACAAGGAAGATGAATGGTCTGAGACCACGAGGTAGACCATTGAAGACGATAGAGAGATAATGTCCAGAGAGACCTGCTAACACTTGGTGTTACTAAAAAGAAAGTAAAGGCCAACCAGAGAGATGAAGGAAAGCGGCTGATATGTGCAGCAATGAACCTAAAGGGCTCGGAATGCTAAAGAAAAAGAAAAAGTAGAATGATAATTTTTTTTTAAAAAAAGAGATATTCTAAATAGAATAATCAAATGGAGGCTGAAAACTCCACCAATTATTGCTATACATCTGGCTTACTTTTGTGGCTTACCCGATGACCCACGGCCATGGATGAAGGTGGTATCATCATATCTACAAACACACACACACACACACACACACACACATATATATATACATTTATGACACATCAAAGGATTCGACATGCTTAATAAACCACCATTTTTCTTTAGTATGGCGGACATTTAACCAGACTATTTGATTATGACTAGGAAGATTGAAATTGATGGCACAATTATTTGTTATCAGAAAGGGAAGATGGACAATGAATCAATATATTTCTTTGTTCTGGTGGGAAACATCATTCATCGTATTTGATTGTGACAAATCAAACTACAGGTGATTGACTGTTAAAGGATTTATCAGTTTTGCATGTTCTGATGTACTGATTTACTGATTTAAGAATCGACATCATAGCGCACCGGGCATCCCCATAGATGCTCCGTCTCCCGCAGCAAATGACGTAAGGTGTAGATGCTAACTGTTACTATAATCATAGTATACTGATTATACACACACAGATCTATTCTTCTCATCCGTCCCTCCTTGTGAGATCCACACTTAATTCCTCGTTCACACAATATTGCCCATGTTATTCCGTCTAATCTTGTGTCTTCCGTCAAAATTCGTTGATATAAAGATCTTCAGAATATTTCCCTTGTCCAATAAGAGTGTTCCCGTAACTTTCGCTTTTGTAGCCAGAAAATCAGCTCGTTCATTCCCTCACACTCCTACATATCCCGGACAGTATATCCACTTGATTCCCTGCAATGTTGGCCTACTGGTGCTTGGTGTCCATTCATGCTCAAAAGGACTAGTATAGATTATTTATTTATTTATTTATTTATTTATTTATTTATTTATTATTGGTTTCTTTATGTATTCGTATGAACAGAAAATGTTCTAGTACAAAATGAACGAAAATATTTAAAACCGAACGAAAAGTAAATCAGCGAGCCTCAGAATATAACAACTACAAATAAAAAGTGAAAGTTGCGGCTATAGAGCCTTCATCTGTACATTCCTAAATCAAAAGAAACCACGAATACACAAAATATCTTAGCAGACGTATACCGAAGCAGCCACGTTGATGTCTCGTCAGTGGAATTCAAGAGACACGTATGACCTTAATGTTGCTTTCACCTTGGAAAATGAGCTATAATACTATAATGGAAAGGGGTTGGGATGAATTAGCAGGATGTGCATTAGACACACACACACACACACACACATATATATATATATATATATATATATATATATATATATATATATATATATATATATATATATATATATATATATATGTGTGTGTGTGTGTGTGTGTGTGTGTAACAATTAGACAGGACAGAACGGAATGGAGTAATAAAATTCGTGCCCTATGTGACACATAACAGCAAAACAGGATGTTGACGATGACCATCTTTTGTGTACATACACGTATGTATGTGTGTTTGTATGCGTGAGTGTGCAATAACAATGATGGTTCTGTGTCCTGTTTCTCCAGAGCCCTATGATTACCCCTCATGGAGTCTCATACTTCTGTTCAGTGTGCACGCCACTGGAGCATCTATCTTCATATTTGAATGGTTGAGTCCCTATGGACTGGACCAAGGAAAGACCTCCTACAGTGGTGAGTAAAATATGTATATGCGAATATGAATGTTTGTCCTAGGTCGACTCAGCATTGAGTGGGTACCAAGTGCAGTCTTGGAAAGTAAAGGCGGCCGGTATGATGTTGACCACATCACCCACCAAGTGCCGATTGGTCTATAAAATATAGGTCTAGCCCTATATGCCCAAGACGAGTGAAGGCGTGGAAAAGGTCTTTTTTTACTTTTATATGAATGTGTATATAACACTGTTTTTCCTTCTATTCTGCCATATGGGGGAGATAATCCATACGTCCTTTTTAGGATGAAATTTGTTGTTTTTTGAAGCCCCACCCTGGCTTTTGCCAGGGGCCGCAATATACAACATGCGATGTCAACGGTGTTTCAAATTGCAGCATATCAGCGTTTTTTGAGTCTTGGAACAAGACTAAAATCCTAAGGTGGTCGAACAGCCAAAACTTTCGACTGGAGTTTACCGCCTGTGAACGTAAAGAGAAAGAAGAAGAACACTTAGATATCTGAAACATTGTGTAAAATATCTGAAACACTGTTTAAGATATCTGAAACATTGTGTTCCATTAAAACTGTTTGATGCAGGAATTCACTGGGGTATTGTTAAAATATAAAAAGTATTTTGCGTATCCTTCACACAGAACCAAGCTTAGCATTTCTGATCTGTTGTGGTTTTTCTGGGCAAATTTCTCATTCAGTAGTTTGCCATTACCTACTGAACGGTCAGCTCTTAGTATCACTGTTGGAACCAACGCAAGGCAAATCGTACGCAGCTGGGATAGAACCTGTTATCCCGGCATTACGAAGCGCGTTCGGAACGCCTAAGCCACATACTCCGACAACAGTTAAAGGAAACAGACCAGAAAACGCAGTGTGGTGAAAATCGCCATGGCTAACGAATAACCATTTTACCACAGTTGGTTTAACTAGACATTTCCTGTTTCTGTGGGTGGTCAGTCTGGTTTGCCTATCTTCTTCTTCTTCTTCTTCGCGTTCACCAGCTGTACACTCTGGCGGAAAGTTCTGGTTGTTCGTCCACACCTGGACTGCAGTCCTGCTTCATAACCTGGGTGTTGCATGTGCATCAGTTTTACAGATCTGATTCACTTGAATGCAGACTTTTGGTTCCTTGCCTCTCAGGCAGATGCACTCCGACTTCAAAGGAAGCTACCAATTAGTCGACTCTTACGACATGCTTTTTGGTAGGCAGTGAGTCTATTCTTGTTTTCCCCCACAATGGGGCCCCGGATTGCCATGAGAAAATTGAATTACGTCTACGCATATGGAGCAGAGGAATGAAACTCCGACTCTACAAGAGCATCGTTTTGCCAGTTCTTTTTTTATGGAGCAGAATGCTGGAGAATGACCAAAAAGGATGTACACAAACTATCCACCTGCCACCACACATGTCTACGTAGAATTATCAAAATTTTCTGGCCAGATACAATCTCAAACACTAAACTACTCCAAGTCACAAACTAAAAAACTCTAGACAATATGATAACTAAGAGAAGATGAAAATGGCTTGGTCACGTTATGAGAATGAATCCTGATATACAGCTCGTACATGAATACCAGAAGGAAAGAGAAAAAAGGGGCGCCCAAAAACAGCATGGAGACGAACGATGGAAAGTGATCTGAATGCGGCATCTCTGACATGGAAAACTGCACTGAAGATTGCACAGGACAGGAAAGCATGGAAAGTCCTCTTTGAAGCCTCATGTGCCACTAGGCATAAAGAGAACTGATATGGAGCAGAAACTACTTGTTATACTTTATCTTCCTTTTGTGGGTTCCCGGGCTCCCTTGTGGGGAAAACAAGAATAGACCCACTGCCTTCCCAAAAGCGTGTCGTAAGATTCGATTAACTGGGAGTTTTCCTTTGAAGTCGGAGTGCATCTGACTGAGAGGCAAGGAACCAACAGTCTGTATACAAACAAGTTCTTAAGTGGACGAACAACCAAAAACGTTCTGTTAGAGTTTAAAGCCAGTGAACGTCAAAAAGAAGAAGCAGAATTACTACATCTTTCTTTTATAATGTATATCTTACTATTGGTAGTCCAAGATACACCGAGTGATCACTACGGAATTATGAGATTATTGTCGTGATTCTGTTGTTTACATGAAACAAGACTGACTGAATATCCTAATTCTTATTACTCGTGTATAAATAAAAAACAAGAAAATATTGTTTTGAATTTCATAAAAATAAGTGTGTGCATGTGTGTATGTGTGTACAATGATCGTCGGCAAGACCCTTGATGATGATGATGATAATATTCCTATTTGATCAATGCAAAATAAAATGTCAACAGTATGCATTTATTAATTATACAGAGGATGTATATGAATATAACTATTGTTCGACAGTTCACAAGTTCTCACTGTTTCCGATCGTTCTGGCTGATATGGGCCATGTTGTTTGGGGCCAGCGTGTCAACAGATCAACCTCGGGGAATCGCTAGTCGATTTTTGGCTAACATTTGGGCACTGTTTGCTGTGGTGTTCTGTGCTTCGTACACCGCCAACCTGGCCGCTTTTATGATTACAAAGGATACTTACTATGACCTCAGTGGCATTCAAGACTGGAGGGTAAGTCACTGCTATTTTCTTGTCAAACTAAACCTTTTAGATTTTTTTTAAATTAGCGGCTGTGGCGTAACGGCTGGCTGTTCGCAAAGGGATTTCAAGGTCGTATGTCCGAGTTTTGACGAAAAAGGACTTATAACCTTGGCTTCAGGTCGATCCAGCCTTTAATGGGTACTTGTAATGTCCTGGGAAGTTGACCACATCACTCAGAGTGCCGATTTGACTAAAACTCATGAAGGCGTGGAATCGGGTCCTTTACTTTTAGGTAACCACAAGTCAAATCTTTAAAGAATATGGCGACATAATGTGCACATCGTGAAGAAGAGTGAACAGAGAATCGCCAGATGGGCACTTAAATGGGAAACATATACACTGAGAAAAAGAGGACGTTAAAATCCATGACGAATGTGAAGGGAGCGCATTAGCGCAGTCGATAAAAGACTCGCTTACAAATCCAGCTGCGACTCGCTGCAGCCCACGGCCGCTGTTCGAAACTGGGCGGTTCCCGGGGTGTCCGGTAATGGGTACCAGAGTTAACACTCTGGGGTAAATTGAGGTACGTGGCTGTGGCTAGGGAGTTTCGTGTGAACAGCGACATGGGCGGACAGTTTCTTATCAGCTGTCCGTACTGGTGGCAGAGCACTTCTGGTTTATAGCCGCAAGCACTGTGTGACGTATAAAACGACAATGTAGATTAAACCAGCCTAAACGACGCCGATAAGAACAGGCAACATATTGTTATCGTATGTACAGTTGACTAATAGAATTATAGCCATACATGCACATTGTGCAGAAGAGAATTATAGCCAAACGTCATGCCAAGTGCCTCAAGCCACCGTGATTCTCTGCACACATCTTTGCTCTCTGTTCTTGAAGGCTTCAGCTGCCAATCGTTAAAGAAGTCCTCTTCTCCCTTTTCTTAGAATTCATCAGCTGTAAACTCTGGGGGAAAGGTTGTAGTTGTTCTTCTAGTCCTGCACTTTGGTCTTGATTCAGAACTTAAGTTTGGCGTGCATATCTATTTTACAGATCTGGCTTATTTGTTAGCAGGCTGTTGGTTCCTGGCCTTTCAGGTAGATGCACTCTGACTTTGAATGAAATACCCCAAATTAATCGTCTCCTACGGGATCCTTTCTTCGGGGAGGCAAAGTCGTACAACCCACTCCAAATTTAAATATAGTGAAAAATAGTGAATATAGTTATTTTCTATGACCTAATGACTAAGCTGCAGCAAAATGTCTCGGTTGATTTCTTCTTCTTCTTCTTCTTCTTCTTCTTCTTCTTCTTCTTCTTCTTCTTCTTCTTCTTCTTGCTCCTCCTACTCTTCTTCTTTTTCTTCTTCTTCTTCTTCTTCTTCTTCTTCTTCTTCTTCTTCTTCTTCTTCTTCTTCTTCTTCTTCTTCTTCTTCTTCTTCTTCTTCTTCTTCTTCTTCTTCTTCTTCTTCTTCTTCTTCTTCTTCTTCTTCTTCTTCTTCTTGCTCATCCTACTCTTCTTCTTTTTTTTTATTTTTTCTTCTTCTCTACCATTACATGTATGAATGAAAAGATGTAAGAACTGAGGGGTGCAACGAAGGGCAGAATGTTAGACGGGCCTGCATGTCCAATTTTTAATCCTTTAAAAATTAAAGTTTGTTCGTTCGTTCTTTCGTTCTTCTTCTTCTTCTTCTTCTTCTTCTTCTTCTTCTTCTTCTTCTTCTTCTTCTTCTTCTTCTTCTTCTTCTTCTTCTTCTTCTTCTTCTTCTTCTTCTTCTTCTTCTTCTTCTTCTTTTCTTCCTCTTCTTAATCGTTCACCTATAAAAGGGCAGTTGACACGCTGTGTTTACAGCTAGGTTGTGATATCTGCACTTTCTTTACCCAAAACATTCGATTTCAGTAAATCTTCAGTTAATCACCTTTTACAATATGTTTGTTGAGGAGCTGCATCTCTCTCATTTTTAGCGCTGATGTTGTTATGTACTACCCGGCTATTCTAGTTTAGTTCCTAACACATGTAATTTGTTTTCTGCCTCTCCGGCGTAACATGTTTCCTCTGTAAGCTAATTCTGTCTTTCATCTATTCTGTTTAAATGACCAATACATCGCATTCGTCCTGGCTTTTTGGTTTTGATGAGTATTTTGCAACACTTGCAGTTCCGAGAATTCAGGATTTGACTTTGTATATATCAACGAGATACTCAAACTTCTCGAAGTCTTCCTCTCAAATACATTAAATGTCTTCACCAAATCACGTTCAAACGGAAGAACAAATTTAGCACAACTCACAAAGTGAGCTTTTTATTAGAATTTGGCATACAAGAAAGAACAAAGATCACGAGTAAGATAAAAGGCACATGAGGGAGAGATTCTGAAAACACTAGAGGATTAGTTTTCATCACAATGCTTCAAAAAATCCAGCAGCAATGGGATTCGGATGTGCTGTTTGTTTACGCTTGTGCCGATTCCTGTAATAAGAATCTCTAGATATGGTTATACTTTTCTTCTTTAATTATTTATTACATCTACTGTTCTGGATGGGGTCAGATTTCCCTGTGTAGCCTAGAAAATGATTTACTTATATGATTTCTATAGAATGGATTGAAGTGTGTCCTTTAAAAAAAAAAAAAAAATACAATTCATTTTTGCTTTAGGTTTAGTGACGTTTATTGTCTCCCTTTCTATCTGTTTGTATACATTCATACATATATATGTATATTTCCCCCTTCTTCCGTCCCTCCCTTTATGTATCTGTCTGTCTGTGTTCTGCCTGTCTATATGTGTGTATGACTGTCTGCCTTTCTGTCTGTCTCTGTCTGTATCTGCTCTCTTATTCTCTCACTCCTTCTGTTAATTCGTCTCTTTCGCTGTCTCACTTTGTCTCTCTTTCTTTATGTTTTTATCTGCCACTTACATATCTGTCTCTCTATCTATGTGAGTGTGTGTGTGTGTGTGTGTGTGTGTGTGTGTGTGTGTGTGTGTGTGTGTGTGTAAATGTGAGTCGCTCTTCTACCACCCCACACCCCTTCCTCAACATCCATATCTGAAATACTTTGCAGAATGCATTCATATCTTGCTATTGAACTGGCTATCGACAATCCCAGAATATTTATATATTGACCTCATCTTCAACTCCCTCAGGATGTTAAATGTCTCCGTGTGTTGCCTCACTGTCAATATTAAACAGATCAGATGATAAGGTCCACCCGTGTCCAGCTCCTCGTTTTATTGATATTGAACTCGCTAAGTGTGAGGAGCGGCTGGCCGAACTATTAGAACGCTTGACTCCCAAGCGAAAGACCCGGATTCGAATCCTGAGTAAGGCTAATAATCTTTACCTGCACAGTCAAGGCGACAGCACTAGCCATGCAGGTTCAAAGCCCCCCAACCCTCTTTTTCCCCACCTTCACCGCAAAAGTGGTCTAATCAAGGTAGTAATTGGCAGTTTCTAGGTCGCTAAGTTATCCTCTATGTCTTAGAGTAGATTGTCTGGTCAAACTTTTGTGAATGGCCTCCCGCTCCCCTTCCCCCCACCTTCCCCTAACTCTTTCGGATGCACTATGAGCGGCAAAAAGCCACGCTAGAATCCAGCAAGACGGCAACAACGAGAATTGACTGAATGGCCTCCCGCTCCCCCCCTCCCCCCCACCTTCCCCTAACTCTTTCGGATGCACTATGAGTTTAACCCCCCAACCCCATTCCCACAGAGAGCACTTGAGTTCGTTGCCCAACATGCCACAACAATTCTTATCGCCGATCATTTGGATCTCAAAGCGTGAGCTGGACGGTCCGGTTATATGGTATTTACGTACACCGGAGCTTAGCTATCAACACAACCCGATCACATAATAACAAATGACGACTGGACCCGCTTAAGACTCCACACAAACTCTCACACACATATCCATTACACGACTAACCCGTTCATATTACAGGAAGACAACTATAAGACCACTATGGTCACACGCGAAAATTTTCACATCTCGGAACTATTCACATTCAAAAAACTGTTTTTCAGTACTTTTTGGCAAAATTAAAATACTCAAAATTTTAAAACAATAAATGGTGGCCGAAAGGGTCGTTGTGTTTGGAAGCTCGCTCTCCTTCGAGATACGCCTAGCCAGATCAAAGGGAGACAGAACAAACAGGAAACACCAAGAATGAAGAAGGAAGACATGCACCAGTGACATCAGGACGAGCGGTTTGATTCGGATGGAAACATTAAGCCAGAAATGGCACAAACTCCAGTATTCAGTCACGAAAGTGACGCAAATAACCCAGACCACAAATATAGGCGGAGATTGTTAGCAGCCTAGGCTAGCTAGCAGCAGTCTGAACGTGGTCGAGCTTTTATTTTTTTTTCTCAAAAGGACTTGGACTTGGACTTGCTGCTTGTTACACGATGCTAGATTGTCTGGTCAAACATTTGCTGCTTATTACAAGATGTTAGATTGTCTGGTCAAACATTTGATGCTTGTTACAAGATGTTAGATTGTCTGGTCAAACATTTGATGCTTGTTACAAGATGTTTGCCATTTCTACTAAAGTCATGCAAAATGTCGGCGTGAAAAACGTGTTTGTCTGTTTCTTAAACTGTGAAATATCTAGGAAAGATACTTAATTTTGAAAATTATTACAGATTATACCTTTATTTACAATGTCTCAGACAACCATCCAACCCTTAAAAGTGGCTAATGTTATGTATTTATTTGGTTTACAGCTCAAAAACCCACACCATGTGAAACCGCCTTTTAAGTTTGCCACAATCGCTAACTCCTCCACCGACACCAACATTAAGAAGAACTACAAGGATATCTATCAATATATGAAGAATGAAGCGCAGACAGATGTCAAAAATGCAATCAGGAATCTCAAGGCAGGGTATGATTGAGTTCAGTCTGTCA